CAGTGCACAGGACACGGGTTCGATCCCCGGGAACTAAGTTCCCACAGGCTTCGGAGCAACTAAGCCCAAGGGCCGCAAATACTGAGCCCATGTACCACAACTAGAGTCCGTGTGCCACAATGGAAGATCCTGCATAATGCAACAAAGATCCTATGTGCCACAATTAAGATCCCATGCAGTCAAATATACATGTTTATACACACACACACACACACACACACACACAAAGAAAAAGACCCTGCACACCACAGCTAAGAGAACCCAGATGCCACAACAAAAATCAAAGACCTTTGAAACTAAGATGTGGCAAAGGGTTTCCCTGGTGGTCCAGGGGTTAAGAGTTCACTGGCCAATGCAGGGGACATCGGTTTGACCCCTGGTCTGGGAAGACCCCACATGCCACAGAGCAACTGAGGCCACACACCACAACTGCTGAGCCTGTGCTCCTCAACACGAGAAGCCACCACAGTGAGAAGCCCAAGCACCACACCTAGAAAGCAGCAGAGAGCAGCCCCTGCTCGCCGCAACTAGAGAAAACCTGTAAGCAGCGATGAAGACCTAGCACGGCCAAAAATATCTAGTTAATTAATTTTTAAAAATATATTAAAAATTATCTGGTGCAGTCAAATAAATAAATATTAAAAAAAAAAAAAAAAGAATGTCCTTCCCACTCTTCTCCCCACTGGCTAACCTACTAGACCTGAAGAGCCAGCTCCCATATCCTATGCAACTGTACATCTCCAGTTTATACATTCTTTCATTCAATACACAAGGTGAGGGGCCTATATGTGACTTCCATGGAAGCTGCTAGGGACGCAAAGCGGGAGAGAATATAATTCCTTCCCCCAAGAGCTCAAATTCTTGGGAATTCCCTGGTGGTCCAATGACTAAGACTCCGTGTTCCCAAAGCAGGGGACCCAGGTTTGATCCCTGGTCAGGGAACCAGATTCCATGTAATGTAAAAGTTCACATGTTGCAACTAAGACCCAGCTCAGACAAATAAAAAAAAAATAAATATTTTTTTTTAAAGAGTTCAAATTCTCTTCAGTTTTCAAGGGGAAATTGTTCTCCTGAATTGGAGGTGGCGTTAAACTCAGAGAGGCAGTATGAACAACAACAACAACAACAACAAAAAGACACATGAAGCAGAGCAGGCCGTGTGCAGGCAGTCAGGGCTATCACTAAAGCACAAGCTGTGAAGGAAAGATGGCTGTTGGAAAGACTGGAGGGGGCCTGGGCATTAAGCATCTTTTGATCTCAGAAGCCACGGAGTTTGTTTCAAGGGCAGCTTTGCGTTTTTCACAGGGGGTAACCATAAGCAGGAAGAAGCCTGAAAAATCAGGAAGTTGTTGCAATAGCCCAGGCGAGAGGTGCTAAAAGCTGGTATTACGACAATAGTACCAAGGACACAGAAGAGGGCACAGGCTGGAAAAACCCTGAAGTAAACCAAATCAGCCAGGCTTCGTGTTTGATGTGAGGGTGAGGGGGAGATGGTGCCAGGGCCACACTCTTCAGCTAGATGCCTGAGCGTGTGGAGGTCCCTTTGCTGACTGGGGAGAAAATGGAAGGTGGCACGGAACTTATTCAATCAAGTTCTTTACGGAACTTCCTATGTCTGAGGTGCTCATGGGATATGAGTCTGTGTTGGCTCTGCAGCCAATATTAGAATATATTTACGTGCAGTATCACAGAGACAGGTCGGCACTGAAGATTTGGGCATCGGCAGCAGACAAGTGATAGCTGAACTCATGAGGATGGATGATACCTCTCAGGAAGAATATGTAGACTGAGAGAGCTATGGACCAAGGAAGGAGCCCAGGGGAAGAGCCATATTTCAAAGGTGGGCAGAGTAAGAGAAACCCCTACATGGACTAGAAAAGCTGTTGGGAAGGAAGGAGAACCATTACATCGTGAAAGCTACAGTGAAAAGTGAAACTTGTGTCCGTCTCTTTGCGTCCCCCACCCCTGGACTGTAGCCCGCCTGACTACTCTGTGGATGGAATTCTCCAGGCAAGAATACTGAGTGGGTAGCCATTCCCTTCTCCAGGGGATCTTCCCAACCCAGGGATCGAACCTGCATCTCCTGCATCACAGGTGGGTTCTCTACCATCTGAGGCACCAGGGAAACTACGGTAGGCAGCCCCCAAGAGGCCCCCAGTGACCCCCACCTCCTGGTGTTCATGCACTTCCGTGATCCCTTCCCTGTGAGTGTGAGATGGACCTAATGACTCACTTCTTTTCATTTAATATTTATTTTCATTTGTTTATTTGGCTGTTCTGGGTCTTATCTGTGGCACACAGGATCTTCGATCTTTTTTGCAGCATGCAGGATCTTTAGTTGTGGCATACTAACTCTTACTTTTGTTATGTGGGATCTAGTTCCCTGACCAGGCATTAGACATGGACCCTTGGGAGTGCAGAGTCTTAACCACTGGACCACCAAGGAAGTCCCATGATTCACTTCTAATAAATAGAATATGGCAGAAGTGATGGGGTGTCACTTCCAAGATTAGGCTACAAAAAAAGATCACACTGGGAATTCCTTGGTGGTCCAGTGGTTAGGACTCTCTGTTCTCACTGCTGAGGGCCTGGGGTTCAATCTCTGATTGGGGAACTAAAAGCCTGCAAGCCCCCCCCAAAAAAAGAGGACCACAGCTTCCTTGTGGGCTTCCCAGGTGGAGCTAATGATAAAGAACCCACCTGCCAAGGCAGAAGACATAAGAAATGCAGGTTTGATCTCTGGGTCAGGAAGATCCCCTGGAGAAGAGCATGGCAACCCACTTCAGTACTCTTGCCTGGAGAATCCCATGGACAGAAGAGCCTGGCAAGCTACAGTCCAAGGGGTTGCAAAGAGTCGGACATGACTGAAGCGACTTAGCATGCACAGCTTCCTGGCATGTGTGCATGTCTTTATTTTTCCCCTTCTCTCCTAGGTCACACTATCCATCCACACTCACACAACCCAAGCCTTCAGAAGAGACAACAACCCCTCAGCTAGGTTGTTCATGGATTTCTGACCTGCTCAAACTATGAGATAATAAATGCTTGGGGCTTTTTTTTTTTTTTTTTGGTGGTGGGGAGCTGTGCTGGGTCTTTCTTGCAGTGCCCCGGGGCTTCTCCAGTTGTGGTTCACAGGCTTATCTTGTTACAGAGCACGGGCTCTAGAGCATGTGGGCTCAGTAGCTACCACTAGACATGTGGATCCCCAACCAGGGATCAAACCCACATCCCTGCATTGCAAGGCAGATTCTTAACCACTGGACCACCAGGGAAGTCCTCAAATGTTTGTTCTTTTGAGAAGCTAAGTTTCGGGTTGATTTCTTATGCTGAAGCCAAGGGAGGAAAAATTTTCAAAAGAGAAGCATTGGTCAAGGAATTAAAAACTGCAGATAAAAACTGAAAAATGTCCTTGGGTTTGGCAAGAGAAGGTCATTAATACGCTTAGAGCAAATGGTTTCCATGAGTGGAGACTCAAATGGGAGGTGAAAGCTGGGGCTGGCGAGCAGTGGACATCTGTCAATTCTGCCTGCCCAGCATCCATTTCCCCATCGGTTACAACAGCTCCCTGATTTTTCTCTGAGTAACCACCCATGGCCTACGGGATAGGATTTCATGAGGCTGTGTCCGTCAGGGTGCCCAGCCCTCCACAGGCCAAAGAGGGCCACATGACTCAAATTGTACCAATCAGAAGCTCTCCCCGGATTTTGAATTGTGAGCTGATGTGACAGGATGCCTGAACCTGGTTGGAGCTGAATCATTCAGCCATTCTTTCCTGCTTTCTTGATTCCTGCCCCTGCCCTGGTTCCAGTCTTTTCCAAAGCCTGTTTTTTCCGTCTTTCCTCCATTGTGTGTGTCACCTTCATTTCCTTCTAAAAAATTCCTTGTTTGCTTAAATTAGCAAGTCAGTCTCTACTGTTTATAGCCAAAGAACCCTAACTCACATTTGTTCTTTTAAGAAATTTAGCAGGGGACTTCCCTGGTGGTCCAGTGGTTAAGGCTCCCATTGCAGGGGACCCAGGTTCAATCCCTGGTCAGGGAACTAGATCCCACCTGCCGCAACTAAGAGTTCACATGCTGAAACTAAGACTCCCTCATACTGCAACTAGGACACGAAGCAGCCAAATACATATTTTTAAAAAGAAGAATAATTCTGGGTGGGATGAAGAGAAACACAAAGGACAGGCGCTAGAGGGAGCACAAAGTAAAGGGAGGGAGAGGTTTTCAGTTCGTTTTTTTTACATGGTAAAAATTTGCACATATTTATAGCTAAGAAGGAGGAGAGGGAAGGAGGGACTGTTGAAGCTGAGAAGGGAAGAACGATGGAGTGATATTCTGGGAGTCATGATGACAGGTGATGCATGGGTGGAGAGGCTGCACTTGCACAGAGCATGGAGAAGTGAAGTAAATCTGGGTGTGAATTCCTGTAGGTGTATATAGGAAGCTAAAGGAAATGCATGACTGATTAGCCTTACTTTTATGTGTTGAGACTGAAAGGGGAGTGCTGGGGGATGCTCATGGGAGAGTGGTGACTGAGAGAGGAGGCTGACCAAGAAGTCGGACTGGCACCTGTATGTATAACTTGTCACCATTCTTTTTTTTCTTGGCTGCAGTCTTTATTGCTGCTCCCGGGCTCTCTCGAGGTGGAGAGGGGGCACGAGGTGCGGTGCGTGGGCTCCAGAGCTCAGCTCCGTGCTTGTGGCGCACGAGCTTACTGCTGCACAGCATGTGGAATCTTCTCAGACGAGGGACTGAACCCGTGTCCCCTGCATCAGAAGGCAGGTTCTTAACCACTGGATGTGCCACCATTCTCCTCTGAGCCAATCTCAAACCAAGGGTAGGGGCGTGCTGATAGAGGAGGCAGAGGCCAGGGCATATGAGAATCAAGAGCATGCTGGCCATTTCCCCTTTGCCCCTTCCAGGTCCACCTCCACCCTTCTTGGCCCATATGGACGGCATTATCCGGGGTCCCTTACCCCCTGACTTCTAACTGGGTCCTTCAGGGACAGCACCAGCAGGACATTAGAGAGTGGGGCGGTGGCGGGGGGGAGCACTGTTCTGGATATTTCATCTCCTGCTCCCAGCTCTGGATCAGGACCGTGGTTCTGGGAGTGGCCGTACCCTCCACACCGTTCAGATATGTTCCACAGTCTCACCATACTCCAGTAACGTCATTTCCTTTCTTCAACCCTGCAGACCACAGAGGGGTCCCAACGTCCTACTGCCTTCACCTCCCTTGTTGGTTCTCTCAACCTGACCCACACCCTCTGCAAAAGTTCCTTCGTTAAATTATCTTCAAAATCCCAGCTGTAGGAGCCCTCTGTTTCCCTCTGGGGCCCGACAGCTAGAGAGCTAGCCAGAGAAATCAGATGGTCCAATGTGAGGTCCTGGCTGAGCAGAGAAGGGAGAGGAGCCAGGAGGTATCTGGCCAACTGGCAGGAAACAGAGGGATCAAGGCAGTGGTGCTCTCTCTATGAGTCGGTGCTACAGGTGTGATGGCAGTGGAGGCCTGACAGACCTGGAAGGCAGGTGCTGGGATCAGAGCCCAGAGTACTGGATTTTGAACATGGAAGACAGAACAGGGTTGTGGTTAATACCCAGGGATTTTTAATTTGGGACCCAGAGAGTTCTGTGTTAGTAATACAATCTTGGCTCAGCCCTTCACTAAATGTGTCACCCAGATAAGTGACTTCACCTTTCTGAGCATGTATCCTCATCTTTCAAATACCAACCCTACAGGTTTTTGTGAGGAGTAAACATGTAAACCATTTGGCACAGTGCCTGGCATGTGGTATAAGTGCATGGCAAACGCTCACTATGTGCCCTGCACTTCCAGGTAATGACTAAGGCCAAGGTGTGGTCATGGGAGTGGTGGCTGGGGTGGGAAGAAGGTCACTGAGGATGAGGTGGGAGAGACCAAGAGACCAGATAATTAGAAGGATGGGTCATCACACAGAGGTTAAGGATCCCAGCAGAACGGCAGGAACTGGCGTGGAAAGGAGGTCTGTGATGATGTGCTATAGTCTTCAGGAAGGAGAAGGAACCGAGGAGTCCACAGATGTCAATGAGGAGGTGGAACAGAGGGTGGTAGAACCCGATGACATAAGGCTCAAGAAAGCTTGGGTTCTGTGAAGCCAGATTAGAGTCAGTGTCTGCCTCATCTGAGTTCCCATGGCCCCTTGAATGTACCTTTCAGATGCCCTTGGGACTTCCCTGGTGGCCCAGTGGTTAGGAATTGCTTTTGCAATGCAGGGGATGTAGGCTTGACCCCTGGTCAGGGAACTAAGACCCCACACATCATGGGGCAGCTAAGCCTGCACAATGCAACTACTGAGTCCCTGTGCTCCATAGCCCAGGCTTGGAAGCCATGGACGTCTGCCCCCGACAATCACAGTCTGTGCCCCTCCACGAAAGATCTTGCATGACACAACTAAGACTTGATGCAGCCAAATAAATAAATAAATATGTTTTAAATCATTAAAAAGAAAAGTAAATGTCCTCAGTGATCACAGCCCCCACAAAGCCAGAGCATGTCAACAAAGGGACAGGATCTGACCCATCCTGTAGTAGCTACAACAGAAGTTGTTGTTCATTTGCTCAATCGTGTCCAACTCTTTGCGATCCCATGAACTGCAGCATGCTAGGCTTTCCTGTCCTTCACTATCTCCCAGAGCTTAATCACATTCACATACATCAAGTGAATGATGCTATCTAACCATCTTATCCTCTGCCACCTCCTTCTCCTTTTGCCCTCAATCTTTCCTAGCATCAAGGTCTTTTACAGTGAATCGGCTCTTCACATAAGGTAGTGAAAGTATTGGTGCTTCAGTCTCAACATTCAGTCCTTCCAATGAATATTCATGGTTGATTTCCTTTAGGATTGACTAGTTTGATCCCCTTGTAGTCCAAGGGACTATCAAGAGTCTTCTCCAACTCCACAGTTCAAAAGCATCGATTCTTCGACACTCAGCCTTCTTTATGATCCAACTCTCACATCCATACATGACTACTGGAAAAACCATAGCTTTGAATACATGTACCTTTGTCAGCAAAGTGATGTCTGATTTTTAATATGCTGTCTAGGTTTGTCACAGCTTTCCTTCCAAAGAGTAAGCATCTTTTAATTTCATGGCTGCAGTCACCATCCACAGTGATTTTGGAGCCCAAGAAAAGAAAATCTGTCCCTGTTTCCACTTCTCCCCTTTCTATTTACCATGAACTTATGGGACCCAATGCCATGAATGCATAGTTTTTTGAATGCTTCATTTTAAGCCAGTTTTTTCACTGTCCTCTTTCACCCTCATCAAGAGACTCTTTAGTTCCTCTTCCCTTTCTGCCATTAGAGTCCTATCATCTGCATATCTGAGGTTGTTGATATTTCTCCTGACAGTCTTGATTCCAGCCTGTGATTCATCCAGCCTGGCATTTCGCATGATGTACTCTGCACAGAAGTTAAATACGCAGGGTAACAATATACAGCCTTGTCTTACTCCTTTCCCAATTTGAACCAGTCAGTTTTTCCATGTAAGGTTCTAACTGTTGCTTCTTGACCTGCATACAAGTTTCCCAAGAGGCAGGTAATGTGGTATGGTATTCCCATCGCTTTAAGAAATTTTCACAGTTTGTTATGATCCACACAAAGGCTTTAGCAGAGTCAATGAAGCAGAAGTAGATGTTTTTCTGGAATTTCCTTGCTTTCTCTTTGATCCAACGAATGCTGACAATTTGATATCTGGTTCCTCTGCCTTTTCTAAGCCCAGCTCATACATCTGGAAGTTCTCAGTTCACGCGCTGCTGAAGCCTAGCTTGAAGGATTTTGAGCATAACCTTACTAGCATGTGAAATGAGCATAATTGTACGGTAGTTTGAACATTCTTTGGTATTGCCCTACAACAGAAGTACATGTTGGTAAATGACTGTTGAATGACTTCGGGGATGAGGGAAGGAGAAAAGTCATGGGTGACATTTAATAAAGGGACAGAGCCACGATAGTAACACAGGTCTCTCTGGATCCCAAATTAAAAGCCCCTGGTTTTACAGAAACAGACTCAAAGACATATGGGGAGGACTGGGAGTCTGAGATTAGCAGATGAAAACTATTATATATAGAATGGATAAGCAACAAGGTCTTACTGTATAGCACAGGGAACTCTATTCAATATTCTGTGTTACACCATAATAGAAAAGAACATAAAAAAGAATGTATATATGTGTATAACTGAACCATTTGCTATATAGCAGAAGTTAAAATGATACTGTAAATCAGCTACACTTCAATTAAAAAATAAATTCAAAAATCCCTGGTTTGAGCTACAGTACTGTCTTCCATGTTCAAAATCCAGTACCCTGGGCTCTGATCCCAGCACCTGCCTTCCAGGTCTGGCAGGCCTCTGCTGTCATCACACCTGTAGCATCAGTTCACAGATAGAGCTCCGCTCCCTTGATCCCTCTGTTTTCTGCCATCTGGCCAGACCCCTTCCTGGTTCCTCTCTCTGACCAGCCCAGTCAGAGCCTCATACTGGACCATCTTATTTATCTTTGATTCTGTTCCATTTATCTCTCTGCATACTTTTTTGCTTTTAATAATTTAATGCTTAAAAAAAAAAAGCAACCTCTTACTCAATTTAAGCAAATGACTACTGAGACTTTCATACACGCTATTCCACCTGTCTGGAATAGCCCATTCTATGCACCCAAATATCTACTACTCCTCATTCAAGAATAAGCAGAAATTAATTATCAGGGAGGAGAAAGATAACCACAATGATATACTACTACATGTCTGTCAGATTAGCAAAGTTAAAAGTGTCTGACAGGTGGGAGGGAGGTTCAACATATGTATACCTATGACTGATTCATGTTGATATACTGTATATACAATACAATGCTGCTGCTGCTGCTAAGTCGCTTCAGTCATGTCTGACTCTGTGTAACTCCATAGACGGCAGCCCCACCAGGCTCCTCCGTCCCTGGGATTCTCCAGGCAAGAGCACTGGAGTGGGTTGCCATTTCCCTCTCCAATGCATGAAAGTGAAAAGTGAAAGTGAAGTCGCTCAGTCATGTCCAACTCTTCTCGACCCTATGGACTGTAGCCTACCAGGCTCCTCCGTCCATCAGATTTTGCAGGCAAGAGTACTGGAGTGGGTTGCCACTTCCTTCTCCTGATACAATACAATATTGTAAAGCAATTATCCTCCAATTAAAAATTAATAAATTAAAATTTTTTTTTAAGTATCTGATAGTACCAGTTATTGGCAAGGATGTGAAGCAATCCATTCTAACTCTGTGCTGGTGGGATAGTAAATTGCTATAAACAGATTAGAAAAGAAGTTTTTTAGTGTAGCAGGCTGAAAAACATCCTTAAAGGGAATTCCCTTGTTGTTCAGTGGTTAGGAATCTGCCCTTTTTTTTTTGGCTGTGTTGGGTCTTCATTGCTATGCCTGGGCTTTCTCTAGTTGCAGCGAGTGGAAGCTACACTCTAGTTTCAGTGCAGTGGCTTCTCTTGTTGTGGAGCACGGGCTCTAGGCTTCCCGGCTTCAGCAGTCGCAGTTCTTGGGCGAAGAGTGTGGGATAAGCAGTTATGGCACACAGGCTTAGTTGCCTTGAGACATGTAGAATTTTCCCAGACCAAAGACTGAACCCATGTCCCCTGTGTTTGCAGGTGGGTTCTTAACCACTGGGCCACCAGGAAAGTCCCAGGACTCTGCCCTTTCACTGCAGGGGAAACAGGTTCAAACCCTGCTCAGGGAACTAAGATCCTGCATGTCTCTCTGCAGGGCCACAAAATTTAAAAAAAAAAGAAAGAAAGAAAGAAAAAAAGGTCTGTGGCTTAATCCCTGGAGTCTGTGAATGTTATTTTATGTGGCAAAAAGGACTTTGTTAATGTGATTAAAGGTTTTGAGATAGACTATTCTGGTATTCTGGATTATTCTCATGAGTCCTAACTGCAATCACATGTATCCTTATAAGAGAGAGGCAAAGGGGGATTTAACACTGACAGAACAGGAGGCAGTGTAACTACAGAGGCAGAAATTGCAGTAATGCAGCCACAAACCAAGGGATGCTGGAAACCACCATAAGCTGGAGGAGGCATGGAACAAATTCTCACCTAGAGACTCCAGAGGGAGTATGCACCTGCCAACACCTTGACTGTTAGACTTCTTGCCTTGGGAACTGTGAGAGAACACAGTTACATTTAGTCCACTAGGCTTGTGATACTTTGTTACAGCAGTCAGAGGAAACTAATTAGGCAGTATCAACCAACCCCTTGTCCATAACCAGGAATTCTCCAATTCTTCTAAGTATATCCCAACAGAAATGTAAGCATTTGTTCATCAAAAAAAAAGAAAAAAAAAGAACTGTAAAGATGTTCACAGCAGCATTATTTATTACAGCTCCAAACTGCTAAAAACCCAATGTTCACCCACAGTGCAATGCAAGAACTACCTGTGGGATAATCATCCAGTGAATACTGCTGCAGCTATTTAGTCACCAAGTTGTATACAACTCTTTTTGACCCCATGGACTATAGCCCGCCAGGCTCCTCTATCCACAGGAATTCCCAGGCAAGAATACTGGAGTGGGTTGTCATGCCCTCCTCCAGGGGATCTTCCTGACCCAGGGATCAAACCCTCATCTCCTGAATTGGTAGGCAGATTCTTTACCACTGAGCCCCTGGGAAGCTCACAATGAATACTACACAGCAATAAAGATGAGTCAACTACAAATAAACAAAACATGGAAGAATATCACAAACACAACATTGAACAAAAGAAACCAAAGGCAACAGGACACATAATTGCTCAATTCTATTTATGTCAAGTTAAAAAAAAGAAAATTAACTATTTCATTGAGTGACACAAAGCTAAAAACTTAAAGAAAAGCAGGGAATTATTACTGTAAGAGCCAGAATAATATTCTTAGCTAGGGAAACAGGAGGGATGTGATCAGGAGGGGGTGGGGACTACTAGGGTGCTGCTAATGGATGTCTTCTCAAGGTGTTTTACAACAGCTTAACTGTACATTTATGTTGTATGCATTTTTCTGAATGCTATATTTCACAATTAAAAAGTATCTTGGTGGTGGTGGCAGTAATTTTTTTTTTAATTTATTTATTTGACTGCACTGGATTTTAGTTGTAGCATGTGGGATCTTTAGTTGTGGTATGTGGGATCTAGTTCCCTGACCAGGGATGGAATTTGGGCCCCCTGCATTGGGAACCTGAAATCTTAGATACTGGACCACCAGGGAAGTCCTGGTAACTTTTAATCAAATGAACAGGGAGCTTCCTAATCCATGAAGCCTTCCTGGGTCCCTCCACCAAGGGTCATCTGAGTCACTGGCCACTCTGGGCTCTGACCCACGGTGTCCTGTCTGGCTCCCCCACCAGAACAGGAGGGGTACAGAGCCAGCACCCTGGGGCTAGAGTCCTCTCAGGGCCCCCAGCAGGGGTGAGTCAGTCCCAGGGCCGGGCCCCCTTAGGACTCGGGGAACATGTGAGGCCCAGCTCCAGGCACACCAAGACGTCTTTGCCTCCCTAACCACCTCACACCGTTGGGGTCACCGTCGGGGCCCCTGGGTGTCTGCCGGCACTGTGGTAGCAGATGACTGCTGACCGAAAGAGGGCGGGGCTGCATTGCCACTTACCTTTGACTCTGTCTCTTCACATCCCATTCAGGAACGTTCCCTAAGGCCTCCTCGAGGAACGGGCTCTCCCTGAAATGGCCCTTCTCTGTCAGTCTGCTGAACTCCTACTCGTCCTTCAAGAGCCAGCTCCCCGTTCATCTCCTCTGTGAAATCATGGCCCGCCTTCCTCTGAGCCCCCACAGGCCCCTATTTCCCTTGACTGCAACCTGTCTACGTCCTGCTCCAAAGAATCTTTCTAGAGTTCCGAAGCTCTCTGAACTACCAGGGTTGTTCTCAGAACCTGAGTCTGACCCACTTCTCAGCCTCAGGACTCTGGAAAACACCAGACGTGGGTTCCAGCAAGCCCAGGCCAGCGCTCGGGGACGTTCTGGAAGCGCGAGACACTGCCTTGAGGTTCCCGCCACCATGGACTCCCGGCATGCACTGCGCCTGCGCAGGCTCCAGAGTCCTCAGGCTCGCGTGGCCTCGAGGTCAGGCTCACTTACTTCTTGTGTGCACGTGCCACAAAATACGGACCTCCCTCCCAACGGCTCCCCTGAAAAAAGTGGAGTGGGCGGGGCCTAAATAATGGGGCGGGGCCTGTAGGGATGGCCTAAGGAATGGATCGGGGCTGAGCTTTAACGACGAACTGAAGTGGGCCTGGGAGTAGAGGTTGGGGCAGGGCCAGGGCCTGAATCTTGTCCAGTATGGGGTGGGGCCCACCATTCCTAAATTGGGGGTGGGAAGGGAGACTCCTCGGGACCTTAGGGAGAGGTGAAATGCCGAAAATTTAGCTCAGGGGAGGCGAGGACAAACAGCAGCTCCCACCCGACTACCCCAGGGGCCCCAAACCTTGAAAGGTCGTGAAAACAAAGCCTATTCCCACCCCAGCCAAGAGCCCTCTAGCTGAGGGAAAGGGAAAGCTCGTGGAAGCCCAAACTTGCCTCCCCAACCTGCCTGCATTGGCAAGGAGAGAGCTGTTTTCCATCTCAGTACTTCTCTACTCCTCAGGCAAGTCACTTTCACTCTCTGAACCCATTTCCTGTCAAAAATGGGGGTAAAATCCCTACCTTACACAGAGTGCAAAGTATTAAATAGATCTTATTTAGGTGCCCAGAGAAGATAAATGGAGACAGTCTGGGATGGACCACGTCTTGACTCCTGGGCAGGATTCAACTCCTGGACTTGCCACTGTATCCCTCACAGATCAGGGGTCCAGGACAGGTTCCCAGGTGCAGGTTTTCAGTTCAGTCCAGTCTTTCAGTCATGTCCCAACTCTTTCCAACCCGTGGAATGCAGCACGCCAGGTTTTCCTGTCCTTCACGCCCAGAGCTTGCTCCAACTCATGTCCATCCAGGTGGTGATGCCATCCAACCATCTCATCCTATGCCATCCCCTTCTCTTCCTGCCTTCAACCTTTCCCAGCATCAGGGTCTTTCCAGTGAGTCAGTGCTTCGCATCAGGTGGCCAAAGTATTGGAGCTTCAGCTTCAGCATCAGTCCTTCCAATGAATATTCAGGACTGATTTCCTTTAGGATTTGATCTCCCTGCAGTTCAAGGGACTTTCAGGTATAGGTAGCGCATCCTTTCCCCCAAGAAAAGCCAGCAGTTTGGAACCCCTGCCCACTCCATCCCCAGCCCTGGGCCTCTTCTCCCCCAAGAAGGAAAACCCTGGATATTGTGTAAGAAACTTGAGTTCCTACTGTCTTAAACAAGGAGTGGGTAAAGAGCAAGAGGCTACAACCTCAGCTGTAGCCATAGGATACCAGGAAGAAATGCTTGGCCTCAGGAGGAGGGAGAGAGATCCAGGTTTTAAGATAACTGCCCAGAAGGTGTGAGGGGTGGAGAGCCACTTGGAGATGCTTTCTAGGCAGAGAGCACCGGCTGCTGAGCCCTTTGGTTTCCAAACCCTTGAACTCTGTTGGCACTGGGAGATAAGAAGCTGGCCCACCTCACTGAGGGTTAAAAATGCCAGCACTCCCCAGAATATACATGAGCGAAGCGTGTGAGAATAAGGTTGGGAGAGCCTTTGTGATTCCAAGGCAGTATCTCCTCCTTTGATAGATGAGGAAACTGAAGCCAAGAGGAGGGCAAGCCTGGGCCAGCAGTCAGCACGTGATGGTCCAGCATCCTGCCCACCCTCCAGCCCAACACCAGGCCAGGAACTCCAGGACTGATACCCACCCCTGGCTCTCACCAGCTCCTTCTTCCAGCCCATGAAGAAAGAGTACAGCTCTGGTGCCCACCTGTGCCCTGTCCAGGGCAGTTTTATTGGTGCCACTGGTACAAGGCCTTGCCCAATAGCCCCAAGCCTTTGCCTCCCCCCTTTCTAAGAAGGAAGCTGGATCCTCGGCCTGGCCTCCTAGGAAACAGCACATTTGGTCTGATGTGGCTGCAACACACATGTGACACTCTGGGCACAGATCTGTGTACAAGTCTGTGTCCAGCTCCAGGGAGCAGGAGAGAGTGGAGGCCAGGTTGGTGGGTGGAAGCTGGGTGGAGACCCAGCTGGCTGTAGAGATGTGTGGGCAAGGTGAGCAGGCCCCAGGTGCACCTCAGCTCCAGTGCCCACTGGTGTGGCTGAAGCTCAGGGCTGATGGGCCGTATAATCGGAGATCCTGAGAGAGAAGCCCGAAGGCCAAAGTAAGTGGAGCACGTCAGGGCAGGCGCCCAGGGGTGGTTTCAGAGAGGGTAGTGTGGATGCACACACACAGCCCAGGGTTGGGAGACAATGTGCAAGGGGCCTTTGGTGAGTGCGGGGCTATACCTCCCTTCCTTTCAGATCTGCATGCCTGAGCCCCTGGCCTCCTGAAGCTGAAGAAACACACCTAAGGGTGGGGTAGGGGATGGGGGAAGGCTGGGAAGGAAACTCAGCTGGAAGTGGTTTAGGCCTCAGAGCCCACATCCTGTGGGAGGGTCTAGCGAGGAGCCTGGTGTCTGTCGCAGTCCTCGGCACCGCTGGAGTGACAGTCCTCTAGGGGCAGAGATGGTCGACATCCTCCCAGGGAGAAGGTGGCCCAGAGGCGAGGAGGCAGGGTCAGTCCTGCCGCATCCAGGATCAGGAGGCCTCGGGCGAGCGCCGTCCCCCCTCCTCCTCCATCAGTAGCAGGCGGCGCCGGCCAGCCTCGTAGTCAGCCTCGTCCACACTGACCAGCAGGCGGACGGCCTCCCGGCCCACCGCCTCGCGCAGCGCCTCAGTCAGGAACACGCCCCGCAGGGCCTGCAGCAGGGCACCGCTCAGGTAGTCGCCCCAGAAGGCGTCCAGGTAGGAGAGCTCAGAGAACTTGATGTCACACACCACGGAGCCCAGGTCCCGGGAGCGCAGCACCGCGGTGGCCTGCCCAAACACATCCAACTGCCGAGCCAGTGCTTGGGGCCGCCGCGAGGCCACGCCCTGCTCCAAGGCTGGCCCGTGCTCACAGTACTCTGCTCTCACCCTGAGCCGGATGTCTGCGGAGAAGGAGGGGCTGGTCAGGGAAGGGCCGACACCCAGCAAGGGGACCGCCACCCACCCTCCCTTCCCCACTGCCCCTCAGCGTGAGTTGCACTGCACCAGCCCCACATCCTTCCTCCTTCCGGTAACCACACCCAAGTACGGCTGACACCCTCACTCGGCTTCTCTCTTGTGGTCTGACTTGTTACCTCCTGACCTGCTGGCCCTGTGCTTCCCCTCACGTGCCCCACTCCAGCCTCACCAACTCCATGCTCCTCCCCGCAACACCTGGCAGGTTCCACCTGGCCCTGGCCCTCCCGTCCTCCAGCTAGGGATGGTCTCTCCCCAGTGCCTGCAGAACTTACTCTCTCATTTCCTTCAGATTCAAATGCCGCCTTCCCAATGATCCTACTCTGACCATCCAATTTACCATCGCCCCCAGGTCTCTGCACTTCCCAGGCCCCATTCCATTTCTGCTCCATTTCTTCCCCCGGCACTTAGCATCTTCTAACCCACCCCAAGCTTTTATTCACTGGCAAGCTAATCACCTATCTCTCCACAGTGTGAGCTCCCTGAAGGGACTTTTGTTTCTTGTTCACTTGTACAGGTAGCCCCGTGGCATATGGTAGGTACTCGATACCCATTTGTGAAAGAACCAACGCATGAATGACTGGATTGGCTTTTAGGTAACCAGCCGTCCCCCTCTTCTGCCCCGAAACAGTGAGAGTCATGTGGGGCCAACCATATCCTCAGCCCCCCACCCACCAGGAAGGCACCAGGCCCAGGAGACTCAAGGCTGAACTGGGCTGGCTCTACTGGAAGCAGGCACTCTCATTCCACAAAGGCTGCCCAGAAGGTGGGCTCTGAGCCCAGGCCTTCTGGGGGCTCTTCTGCCACCAGGAGCGGGGAGAATGAAACCTACACAAGGCCAGGCACAGACAGGAAAAGACTCCTGAGTTCATCAGGTGTGCGTGGAGCACCTGGATTTTCAGCTCTGATCAATTTCCTTTCTGCTTAAGCCAGTCTGAGGTGTGTCTGTCACTTATAACCCTGTCCACATCTACCCAAATGAGGTGGCAGCTCTGGGCAGGGGGTGGGACATGAGACTTCCAAGGCCATCCCTGTAAATGTGACCTCAGGCGTATCACTTAAACTGACTGAACTCCCTATCTGTGAATCTGACTGCTGACTACTGATACAACATGGGCTGCCCTAGGACCAGCTGCAAGCTGGAAATGACAAGCAGCACTCATAAACTCATTTAATCCTCAAACGACCCTGTGAGGCAGGCCCTAGTAGCACCCCAATGTACAGATAAGGAAATGAAGGCAGATGAGAAAAAGGGGACAACAGGGGGACAACAGAGGATGAGACGGTGGGATGGCATCACTTACTTCATGGACATGAGTTTGAGCAAACTCCAGGAGATGGTGAAGAACAGGGAAGCCTGGCCTGCTGCAGTTCATGGGGTCTCAAAGAGTCAGACATGACTTAGCGACTGAACAACAAATGAAGCAAGGAGAAGTGACCTGTCCAAGGTCCCACGGGCAGGGGATGGCAGTGCGTAACAGTGTGAGGGTCAGAGGGCAGTCCCATGCCCCAGACAGCAGCTTCAGGTCAATGGATCCTTGATCTGAAGCTGATCCCACCCCAAGAGCCTTCAGGCACTAGCTATGTGACCTGGAATGAGTCACCACCTCTCTTGAGCCCAGGGTCTTGCCTAAACCAGGGGAATGTCCCTCCTGGGGAGAGTTCAGATGACTGTCCACCAGTGGGTGCTACAGAATAGCAGCCACCAGCAACTCGGATGCGGGGGCACGTTCACCCTCTTTGACAGATGAGGCCGCTGAAACTCTGAGAGGGGAGTGTCAGGCCCCTGACTCCTTTCACCTTTCAAAGACTGTGTCAGCCGCAGAGCAAAAGCAGCAGGCAGGTCCCCACTTCCCCAGGCAACTTCTCAGCACCACCCACTTCCTCCTCCCACCCCAAACCCCAAACGCTTCCTCTTTCTGCCTCAAGGGGAAGCTCACCCTCTCTGCTCGAGGCCCAGAAAAACCTGCTCAGCCTCGGCCCCCAGGACTTCCCACAACACTCAGGACTGGCTCCCTCCATCCTAGGATCAGTCAAGACCTCTGGGCCCACATCCTTAACGCTTCTGAGTGTCTGACCAGGCCCTCAACAGGCGTGAGCTGGGAAGCAGGGGACTGGGGGGAGCAGCACCTGTCCAAGGCCACACGGGGGTGCTCAGCAGCAGAGGCACAGAGCCAGGTGGCGGAGAATGACAGACCTTGAGGCGAGTCCCGGCTCTGCCACTCTCTAGCTGTGGGGCCTTGGGCATGTGACCTCACCTCTCTGAGCCTCAGTTTCCCCATCTGAAAAACATAAACAGACAAACAAGAGGTCCCTGCTGCACGACGGGGTCATGAGGATCAAATTAGGCAACGCATGAAGCATTCGACCCAGAGCCTAGGCACAGAAGGCACCCCAAAAACAGGAACTGTGATTTCGACACTCCCCTCTCTACCCCACAGCCCCTGCCTAGGCCTTGTGCCCTCTCACCTGGGCCTGAGCCAATGTCCTCCCTCGTCTCCTCCTTCAGTCCCAGCTCCATCCTCCCATACCCTGCCCTCAGTCACAAGGGAAGTGCTCCCAGCACAAGCCTTACTCACAGAATGACCTGGCCATCTCCTCTGCCCAGAATGCCCCTCAGCCACCAAGGCCTGGCTCACCTGCACTGGGGCCTGCGGCTGCCCAGCTCATATTTCTCCTCAGCACAGCCGGCTACTAGACCTGTGGTAGAGCCTGTCTACTCACACAGCCCACCGGGCATGGTGGGGTGGAAGGAGGACTGGACCAGGGGGACCCGCACGTCCCATCCATTCTTCCGTTCGACAGATATTTACTAAGTGCCAGGAGCGCTAGGGAGACACATGTGGGACTGGAAGACCTGTGAGCCGCAACCAAGGAGCACTCTGTGTGCGTCACACCCTGTGTGCTGTGCTGTGATCCGTCATGTCTGACTCTTAACGACCCCATTAACCGTAGCCCGCCAGCCTCCTCGGTCCATGAAATTTTCCAGGCAAGAATATTGCAGCAGATTGCCATTTCTACTCCAGGGGATTTTCCCAACCCAGGGATTGAACCCACATCTCTTGCGTCTCCTGCACTGCCTGGCAGATTCTTTACCACTGCACCACCTGGGAAGCCTACAGCACACAGGTGACACTTAGTACTTACTGCACCATTCACACCTGTTGACCCTTTTGATGATGCCTGCAACCTTATGAGGCTGTGCTGCTGTCCCCTTTTTGTAGATGAGGAAACTAAGGCAGAAAGGGTGAGTCACCTGCCCCAGGCCACACAGGCAGGAAATGGCAGAGCTGGAATTCCAACCTAGACACTTACCTCCAGAGCCCAAGCTCTCAACAATCCCTAAACTGTGTGCTGCCTCTCACACAACCATACTCAGAAGTCTATAATTAAAAGACATTCCAAGGGTCAGGAGAGAAAATTATAGAGCGCAAGCTGTAATTTAGATCAAAATGATCAGAAACAACCTCTCCAGGAAATGACACTGGAGGTGCAACATGAAGGAGGTCAAGGCAAGCAAGCGGTGAAGAGAGAACAGCAACTCTCCCAGAAGAGAGATCAGTGTCAAAGCCCAGAGGCAGAGCATGAACTCAGGGCACTCACAGGCCGGAGGCCAGCATGGCCAGGTCATACTGGAGAAGGGCACAAGGGGACACCTAGAGGGGCCGGACTGACTGCGCCCTGGCAGGCCAGGGAGGCGGCAAGTCTGGGGTCTTCCGAGCTGACTGCATGTCTCCGCACCTCGGTGGCCTCCTCCATAAAACCGCCTCACCCAGCATCTGTTCTCATGGGGCCACTGTGAGGATGACAAGGCTGGATGCAGGTAAAGGGCAGACTGAGGTCAGTGCCCAGCAGGTAATGAGTCCTCTGCAAGCAGCAGGAAGGAAGTGGCCTCAGGACACCAAGCAGCAGGGGCGTCAGGAACAGAGCCAGGGAGCACTTGGGGAAGGCGGGAGGCAGCTTAATAGCCAGGAACACTGAGCTTTTGCCTGCAGTCCCCCTCCACTGGTAGGAAATGCTGCCTCCCCCCTTGGTGGAGGCCTGTGCCAGGTTTTCTTGGAGAAGAGAGCTGCTCCTGCCTCCTGCACTCAGGTGGGCAACAGCACCCCCTTGGCTCCCCTACCCAACACCTCATCAGTCTCTCTCCTGGGGCAGAACGGGCCCCAGAGGAGAATGGGAGGGGCTTTCCAGTGGGGAATCAGGGAAGGTGGGAGGGACACAGGCCCCGGGAGAGGAGGTGAGCCACCATGCATGCCAGACCCTGTGCTGCATGTGGCTAGAGGCCAGGAACAACTCTCACTCAGGTCTCCCCTCTGGGAGTTACTAACAGGAAAGGCTGGGGAGCAACAGGATGGGTGCCCAGTGAAGAGCAGCCGCCAGCCAGCACTAAGGGACAGACTCTGCTCCCCAATGCCAGCACCTCTGGACAACAGCTCACCCCGCCTCGGCTCCAGGTTCTTCCCCAAGGCATAGGCAGAAGTCCTTCAACTTGTCCTGGACTAATGGACAGGGAGGGACAGTGAGTACACACGGCCACCGAGGCAGTGACAACCTCTGCCTGCTTCCTGAAGGAAGAGCGCACCATACCTAGGAAATGCGCTTGAAAAAAAAAAAGAGACAATGGTTAGGACTCCGCGCGTTCACTGCTGAGGGCGGGGGCTTTGATCCCTGGTCGGGGAACTAAGATCCTGCAAGCCGAACAGCACAGCCAAAATTTTTTTTAAAAAAACACCAAACCAGAATCTGATCAGGCCTCTCCAAGCCCAACTATCAATTTTTAGGAAAAACAGACAACAGAGGAACATGGTCAGTCAACCCTATCGCAGAATGTAATCGGCAAAATCCAGTCTTTGGGAAACACAACCACACAACTCCCTTCAACATATACAATGCAAGGCGGGTGGGGGAAAAACAAGACGGGGGTTGGGGGAGTGGACTGGATAAGACTAGAAGAGACTCAAGAGCACCAATATTTAGACAAATTAGACATTTAGGCACCGAGAAGACATTTGAGAGTAAGAAGTTACTGGCTTTTTCTGAGTTTTTTTTTTGGCAGGGGGAAGGTGGGGGGCAGGTGCTGGGCTGCACAGGTTGCAGGATCTTAGTTTCCTGACCAGGGATTGAGCCTGGGCCACCGCAGAGAAAGCGCCAAGTCTGAGTCCTAACCACTGGGCCACCAAGGAACTCAATTCTTATCTTCTCGAGATACACACTGAAAAATCTACCCATGAAACAACAGGACACCTGGAACTGACTCCAAAACAACGTGGCTAATGAAATCACGACCTGAGAGTGGCAGGGGTTGGGTGCTGGGGAGCCGAGGGTGGAGGTTCTTAATGCTAGTCTGTCTGCCTCCGTTTCTTATCCAGAAACAGATGGCGGGAGGAGCAAACAGTTGGGGGTGGGGGGTGGGAGGGAAGCAAAGCAAAGCCTGTCATTCAAGCCCTCCAATTGCTTCCCATCATTTAAAAGACGCAAAGCCCTGGCCTGAGGCTCACGGGCTCTGCAGGACAGGACCCTGGTCACTCTCCTGCCCTGGCCTCCTGACCGCCCCTGCACACCCCCCTGCTGCAGGCTCGCCAGCTTCACTCCACCACTGACATGTCCACACTCGGGTCTCTGCTCCCGCTGTCCCCTCAGCCTGAAACACCCTTCCTCAGCCATCCACATCCTCCTACCTCTCTCCCTGTCTTCTGAGAGGCATTCCTAGACCACCCTACCCTGAAAACCCACCCAGAACTGCATTTTCCATCATTCTCTGCGCCCTGCCCCTGCTGGTTTCTCTCCACAGCTGATATCGTCATTCTCTCTCTTCCTTCTCTTAGCTTTCTCCTCCCACCAGAATACAAGCCCCATGAGGGCAGGGCCTCCCGTCCCGTCTGTGGGATGTGAGCACACAGTCACAGTGCTCTATAAACACGTGTGCGACAACCAAATGGACAAACCCAAGCTTTTGCCCAGCCCGCCCACTCCACACGATGGCGGATGACATCTCTACCTCGGGGCCGTCTTGAGGACTCAAGGTCCAGGAGCAGCACATTCAGCACAGAGCACAGTGGACGCCTGAGAGGGATGAGGAAACTCAGAGGTCCCGTGTCTGAGTCCAGGACCCCCCAGGGCCCACTCCTCACACTCTGGGGCCCTCAGGAGTTCAGTTTGATTCTATCCCTCAGCAGAGCGCAATTGACTGGGGGGGTCCAACCCCATGGGTAGCACAGGTGAGGAGGGGCCCCCCTTCCTCAGGTCTGGAGGAGCCTCCTTCCGACCCCAGGACTAAGCCATCTCCATTTTCGGGGAGAAAACCTGGGCCCCACAGGGGAGAGCCTCACGCCAGCCCCACCCGGCCTGGTGAGTCAGCAGTCAGACCTGCTCACTCATCCCCACATCAGGAACCGGCCACACCCAGGTTAACCACCTCCCCATCCTCCGCCAAGAAGCCTCCACCAGCAGGACCCCTCCCTGGCCTCAGCTTGGCCTACTCCCCCGGGAGGCAGAGGCTCTCTGGGCCCCCAGCCAGGAGGGGCCCTAATACCACCTGACTAGGGAAGAGTCACACCAAGCAGCCACCCCCTCGAGTGGGGGCTGTCTGCGGTCACGGCTGGTACTACTGGTCTGCTCCTCCCAATAGCACCCAGGACAGGTATCTGCAGCCTCAGCTATGGGGCGGCTTTGGTGCCCAGGGCCTGGGGGGCCGAAATGGGCACTGGGAAGAGGCAGAGCATGTGCTCTGAGCGGTGGAGGCTCTGCAGGTAAGGAAGAAGGCCCTCCCAGGAGGCTGAGGTCTCCTGGGGAATGCAGAGCTGCTGCCACTCCCCCTCAATCTTCCCGCCTGTGATCCCAGCCCCACCCAGTCCTGAACCTCTCACTAGCTGATACCCTCTGTGACCAAGCCTTGTCCCACTCAGAAGAAGGGGTACCAGAGCGGCGTGTGGGAGTGTGAGAGAGTGAGTCCTCCCCTTGCGACCAGTGAGAACTTTCCAACGGGAAGGTCTTCATGAGTCTGCACGGCAGAGTCCCTACCCTACCCCACCCAACCCGTCGGCAGGTCCAGTCACCCCTGTGGTTTATTTCCGTAGGTTCCCCTACTTCTCGCCTCTCCCACGCCACTAGCCCAGGCCAGACCTCAGCCCCATCCGTGTTAGACCTGAAGCCCCTCCACTCAGGTCCCTGCTTCCACTCTGTTGCATTTATTTTCCATGCACCTGACAGAGCATGTGCTACCTGTCCAGCACTGTGCTAAACACTGTGCAAAGTGTAACTCATTTACTGACTGATTTTCTAGATGGAATCAGAGTTCACTTCACTGCCATGCTAAAAGAAAAAAATCCCTTGGAAAAACTTGACCTCTAGTATAAAGTCTAACTCCCATCTGCTCTGAGGCCTGCCAGGCCCAACCTCTGAGGCTCTGCCTGGCTCTTCCAAAAAAAAATGAAAATGAAGGTAAGGGGTTGTCAGGAAAGGCCTCCTGGAGAAGGCTCCACACAACATAATCCTTTGACTATGGGTGGGAGGTAGACCACCAAGACGGCTACAGAAAGGGCAAGAATTTTGCTGTGCTGAATAGGTGCCTGAGCTGCCGCCCACCCCTGGGTGTCAGACAGGGGGCTGCTTTACCCCCTCCAGCTCTACACTGCACATGCGCACCCCGAGGCACATACAGACACCTACCACAGGTCACTTTGCCTTCTGAGGTGGGCCGGGCTGGCTCCTGCTGCTGCTGGGGGGCGGTGGTACCTGCCCTGCGCCGCCGTCTGGCACCACCACTGGGACGGCCCCGACTCCGCCGCTGCCGCTTCGTTAGGGGAGAACCTGAGGAGAGAAAGATGAGGTAGGCTGAGGACCAGATGACAGGAGGAGCACCAAGATGGGAGCCCAAGGAAGCACTCAACTCTAGACTCTGGGCTGGGAGACCCTGGGTGAGCCCCTCTGCTTCCTGGGCCAGAAGATGGAGAGTATGGACAAGTGAGCATCATGTAGGACAGGTGAGCACACCCCACCTGGCAGTTCAACCCTCAGGTGTGACTCTAGAGAAACCCTGACTACTCACACCAGGAAAAAGGCAAGACAACAGCTACAGTAGCCTGGAGCTTTGTTTATAGGTTATAACCATGTAAACCTGAAAACAATGTAAATGTCTGACAAAAAGTGCATACAGTAGTTTCCAAATAGACTGCTTAGTGAAAGAAAGCAAGTATCTACCGTTTGCTACATTCTGTATAAAAAAGGAGAGGAAATAAGAATGTATACATTATTTGCTATTTCTGCAAGATGAAATACAGTAAGGCTCTACAGGAAATGAAATTGATTATCTACTGGGAGGGAAAGAGACAACAAAAGAAATGATACTTCTAAGAACATCTTTTCTGCATACTTTACATTTGACTTTGGAATCATGTAACTGTTTTATGACATACTCAAAAAAATTAAGGAGGCAAAATAAAGCATAAAATTAAACAGAAACAAATGAATCTACACATATATAGAATAGGTAACACACAGCAGGAGAAAAGGATTTTAAGTAACTAGGAAGAATATTCTGACCATAAACTCCTAGTAGGATATACTCTGAAAACAATTAAAAATCACACAAAAAAAATCTTGTTTCATTCAACAGACATGGTTAGCACTTTGTAAGTTTGAAATTGTTTTATTATTGTTGTAAAATAAAGCAAATAAGTCCATGTCTTAATGTTACCAAAACCAAGATTATCAGCGCGAGTTAAAAACATCCTTTTAAGGACTTCCTTGGCAGTCCAGTGGTTAGGACTCTGTGATTTCACTGCCCAAGATGCAGGTTCAATTCCTAGTCAGGGAACTAAAATCCCCACAAGCTCGAGCAGTGCAGTCAGGAAAACAAAACAAAAAAGGTCCTTGTAATGTTAATTTTGAACTGAAAATACTAACGTGAATTTTTATTTAAAGGCACAGTTTCTAGTTTGGTTCATTGTAAGAGCCTAGAAACAATGCGCCTACTCAGCCCCTGAATCTTGGAATCTAAATACCATTGCCTCTAAGAGAAGCCAGGCTTCTGCAAACAGTTGATTCCAGGGCTGGGGAAGGAAAATATGAGGGAACCCAGGACATCCTGCAGTCCTACCTACAAAGCAAGAGGCACTCAAAGAATGAGGCAGACATCAAAAAGGAGCTAGCCAATTTGAACATCAGCAAGAATAACTGATTCTAACACATTAAACACACAAGAATACATGAATCCATGGTGACACTCCTCACTTAAAAAAGAGAGGGAGGGATGGATGGAAGCAAAGAGAAAAGTAAAACTTCTCTTGAGAAAATGCCAGGTAACAGACACAGCAGAGAATCCGAAAATCATCACTGTGAGAACACCAGTATAACAACTGGTTCAGGCAAAGATTTCCAATGGCTGCTAAACCCACTGGGGATGCTGCTGGGGAACAGGACAGGTGAAAATGTCATCCAGACTATCTACTAACCACGAAGGGAAAAACACCTCTGTACAAAGGGAAAATCCAGCAGATAAACAGGTGAACAAACTTGCTCGCTCACAACAAGAAAATCAGGCCTCCTCATGTGCTCCAATGTGAAGCTGATGGCATCAACCAAGGAAAATCCTGGCCAAATCCACATAACCTGAATCTAACAAACTCTCTAAACATCATTCCCAAAATATAGAGGACAGAGGGATAAGTTAAAAGATACTCTCAGGAAATCATCAGATACATCCAGAAACAATCAGGACACTAAAAAATAAGTGGTCTGGTCAATGTCATGGGGAACTAAAGAAATCGGTACACTGTGACGGGGGTGGGGGGGTTCTATAGTAGAGATTAAGGTGACTAATAACTGAGTGCACAGCAACACATCTATGAGTGGATCCTGAAAGTCCAGACAGCATTGAGAAGATCTGAAACACGATCATTAGGATACCAGAGGATTAGTGCTCATGCCCTTTCTCAGGTATGATAATGGTCTTGAAGTGGTATCAGACAATCTCCTGATTCTCAGGAGATGCCTGCTAATTTAGGGGTAAAGTGTCCTGATGCCTATAATTTACTTTCAAAGAGTTCAATTAAAAAACCCCAGAGTTTAAAAAAAAAAAAAAAAACCCCAGAGTTACATACACACACACATAAAACTGGCAAAACGTTAAAATTACTGAATCGAGGTGGAAGATATGAACAAGTTCACTGTACTAATCTTTCAACTTCTCTGTATGTTTGAAACTACATTTGAATGATTAAAAACTGGGGAGAGGGGAGGAGAATAAATAAATTCACTGCCACGGCAATGTAACAAAACCAGTTAGAAACCCAACATGAATAAATCTCAGAAACATCCAATAAAGACAGACATGTGAAGGATAACACCTACAATGTGATGCCATTTAAATGACATAAAACCACAAGAAACAACTGCACAGGTTGCTTCTGGACCCAGGCTTTGGCAGCAATAAACATACAAACACAAAGCAAAATGAGACCGAACTGGGACTTCCCTGGTGGTCTACTGGCTAACAATCCGTCTGACAATGTAGGGGACAGTGCTTCGATCCCTGATCTGGGAAGATCCCACAGGCCTTGAGGCAACTAAGCCCATGCACCACAACTATTGAGACTATGCTCTAGAGCCCGTGAACTGCACCCACTGAAGCCCATGCGCCCTGGAGTCCATGCTCTGCAACAAGAGAAGCCACCGCGATGAGAAGCCTACACACCCAGATTAGAGAGTAGTCCGCACTCGCCACTAGAGAAGGCCCGAGTGCAGCAGTGAGGACCAGGCACAACCAAAAATAAAATAAATATATACATTTAAAAGAGAGACAGACAAAATCACCCCTCAGGCTCCTTTCTTGATGGGTCAGGATGAGGTAGGTTCATGAGAGTTCAGAAGGGCCAGAGAGGGACACCCACCTGTCTCCCACTGACCCTGCTCAGCATTCGACGAACTACTTGACTGGCGACGGCGACGGCAGCTGCCCTCCAACCTCGAAGAAGAGTCGGACGAGCCATAGCTGTAGCGCTCTGGAGACACTGGGGATGGGGCAGGGGACGGAAAAAAGTATTCGAACCCTCCAGCCTCTCCCAGGCTCAGCCTCCAAGTCTCACCCCTCCCCCCAAAGATGAAAGCCTGCCCCACAGGGTGCCCGAGTTCCCCAGAGGTCAAAGCCCAGACAGCCACTCCTCAAACACCTCCAGCCCAGTAACTGCCTCCCAGGAAAGAAGACACATCACCTCCTGGGGCCACCCAATCCACACCTACAGCAGCACCAACTGTCAGAGCTATTCTGTAAGCTGAGTTACGGTCAGGATTCAGGCAATGCTGCCTACGCACTCCCCACCCCCAACCACCCCGGGTCTCCCTGAGGCCCCAAGGAGTAGGCAGGCCCCTGCAAGCTCCCCAAATCTTCTCTTTCAGAGCTTGACCTTCAGACACATTTTTCCCAAAATGCTGTCAGTTCTGCCCTAAGGATACCCTTCTCCTGGTTATCCAAACCCCATGGACTTACCCTGGACAGGGAAGCTCACAAACACCCTCCCCAAACTAGCCACAGCACCTCTAGTAACCCAGCCAAGGGCTCAACAGCTCACAGCCTCAGCACACAAGGGACTCCTCACCTGCTTGGGACTGCTCTAGGAGTCCTTCCAAGGGTTAAGGGCATTAACTCTAGAGATACACTAGCAGCATTTGAATCCTAGCTCCCACTTTCCAGCTATGTTATCTGCAAGCTCCTGTGTGACACCGCTTCTCACCTACTCTCTGCCTTTACTTCGATCTCTGCTGCTGACACATTGGCCTCTGATAGTGCCAAACTCAGTCCTACCTGAGGACTAGACAGTCTGTTTTTCCCTATTCCTGGAATGTTTTCCTCTTGAGATCTAGACACTCGGGCAGTACAGCAGCCTCAGTTCAAATGTCACCTTCTCAGAAAGGACTTAACTGGTTATAAAAACTTAAGGGGGCCGCCTTTCACTCTGAAACACTCCACACTTCCTACTCTCTCTGCTTCACTACTCTGTTTCAGTCATTTCATAACCACATCTAAAAGTAAATCATTCAAATAAAATCATCTTCATATACTAAAATAACAGTAATAATAGTCATTCATTGTCTCATAGTCTGATATCACTTAGTCACTGGTCACTTCCAATTCTTGTGTGACCCCGTGGACTGTGGCCCTCCAGGCTTCTCTGTCCATGGGATTCCCCAAGCAAGAATACTGAAGTATTCTTTATGGATTGCCATTTCCTTCTTCAGGGGATATTCCTGAGCCAGGAATATCGAACCTGTGTCTCCTGCATTGGCAGGCGGATTCTTTACCACTGAGCCACCAGGGAAGCCCTCTATAGTCTGATACCCCCACTAAATGAAAGTCTCAGGGAACAAACACCTTGTCAGTCTCATCAAGCTGTACTTCCTATTCCCTATTTCCCAGGGACACACAGGATTCAACTGTTACATGTGGGCAAGCTGCTTAACTTCTCTGAACCTACTGTGCTTTCTCTGTACAGTGGGGACAGTGATAGGACTTCCTCTTAGGATTACTCGGGAGGGGAGGTCATAAGGTGATAGTACACATGAAGTACGACTTACTGCTATGCCCGGCATGAAGTAAGCCCTCCATCAACAGTAGCCACAAACATCACTACTGACGTGGCCAAATTTCACAAGCTCACCCCTCCCAAAGCCATGCCTCCTCCCTCTTGTGTTTCTCATTGATACCCTGGGAGGAGGAAAGAGTGCGATGAGACACATACTCTCTGATATGGTTCTCTTCGTATCAGGCACCGGGGAGGCCCAGCGAAGGCAAGGCCCTCTCCCCAGCGGAAGTCGCTCGCCCTCCCATTCCACCATACCTGGCCGACGCCGCTTGCGCGCCAGGTGCGGCAGCAAGTCGTGGCGGGACACTAGGCGCAGGAGTTGCCCCAGCAGCCTCAGGTTGCTCTCGTCGCACTGCCCGCGGCGCTCCAGCTCCAGCAGCAGCTCCAGGCCACTGCGGGCGTGGGCCAGGCCGCCTGGGGCACCGGGGACCTCGTCCAGCAGGAAGGCTAGCAGCTCCAGCTCGCACTCGGTCAGCTGCCCGCCCACCACCTCGAACATACGGTGAAGCGATAGCATCCCGTAGTAGTCCAGACACTCATCCTCCTCCCAGCTCGGGGCCGGGGTCGACCCGGACAGCGCCATACCCGGGGGAGCGGGGCAGAACAAGCTCAGAACCAGGGCCTAGAACCCACACAGCGAGCAGGAGGCAGCGGTCAGCGACGCGGGGACCCAGACCTCAACCCCCGCCAGTGCGTGTCCCTAGCCGCGTCCCGCCGGGCAGGGCCACCCTCACGTCCCAGCCCTTGGAGCCTCCCCCTTCTGCCACAAGAGAATGGTATCGCCCGAGGTCCCCTAGTAACAGGTCCAGACGCCAGACCCCGCTCATCCTCCTACCACTCGGACTGGCCAAACCCGAGGGCCCCTCCCTAGGTGGTAATGTTCCGAACAAGCCTCCCACCCGAGCAAGTGACTCAGTCGGAACAAGCCTGGGGGCCCAACGCAGGGCACCCCGCCAATCGCCCTTTGTGGGCAATACTGTCCGGACATGTTCCTTGGCTCCGTCCAGAGGTACTGTCCGATCGGCCATACAGCTCAACCTGAGTGGTACCGCCCGAAAGTGACCCTCTGTCCCCTACAATGAGACCGATCAAAGCCGCCCTTCGCTCCACACAGGTGGCGCTGTCCGAATCCGACCCCCTTGCCCTGGAAGGGCGCTACCTCCCTCTCCCCAGCACCCAGGTGGTCCCGTCTACCCGCCACTAGTCGCTTGTAGGCCTCTCTATAGCCTTACCGAATTCCGGCGTCTCACGACTCCCAGGCGACGGCCGCAGCCACTTGTTTTGGATCTTTCTGGCACCTTCTCTATTATTACGCCTGCGTCACCTCGCCCCTCCTCCTCCGCCCAACTCACGCAGGTGCGACCGCCACGCCCCTTGGGCGCAAGCGCAGAGTGAGCTTCCAAGCCCCTCCCCTGGGCCCGCCCCCAACTGTAGTGTCTGGCAGGCCTGTGCTGCGCCTGCGCAGAGCGAGGGTGGCGCCGCATCTGGGCTGGAGCTGGTGGTATCCTTTTGCAGGGTCGCTTCGGTCTATGACTCGAGCCCCAGTGTCCCTGTTGCCCCACATCACCACCTGCTGAAACTACTCATGTCATGGACTACAACCCCTCCTAATCACGACCTAGAAGCCCACGTTACCACTGCTTTCACCTGCCCGTGGCAAAGGATCATAATCACGACCGTCCTGGCTCTGGGTAGTGCCAAGACCCCTTATGATCAAGACTTGGACTTCCCTCCATTAGACTGCCCCTTACTTCTACTGGCAACCTATACCCCATCTGTGCCAGCTCATGATCCTGACTGGAATCCCACCTCATCGAACAGAAATTCCCCATCTATAAATTCCTTCCTCAATCAAGACCAGGACTCCCCATCTCATTTTAGGAACCAATACCTCCTTCTTGATTGCAATAGGCCCTTACATCTTGATTGTGCACCTCCAGATGGTGTCCGTCATGACTCCCCCATTACAGTCAGAATCCCCTCCAGGAACTCTAACGCCCTGCCCCCATAACCCTTTAAAATCTCTGACCTCCAAGGTCACAGGGAACTCTCAATACTCTCCTCTCTAATCTGCACCTGCCAATTTCAGTCTGGCAAAAGCAGGTCTCTATCAAGAGAGTTGGTGTCAAGGCTGCATGTCTAAGCACTACCACCCCACCCCCCAACCCTGCGTCAGAGCCCTGGGCGTTGTGGCCATCCTGCCCCCTCCCCACTTGGGTGACTCAAGGTGAGGCCCTTCAAGTGTCTTGGGACACGTTCCGGGACTGGTTCCCATCCCCTTGGGACTCCTGGGTCCTGCCTGGCGCTGACTGTAGCTGTGACCTCGGAAGAGTTCCTTCCCTTCTCTCTTATGGCTCTTTGCCACCCTATGGACTGTAACCTGACAGGATCCTCTGTCAATGGGATTTTCCAGGCAAGAACACTGGAGTGGGTTGCCATTTTCTTCTCCACGGGATCTTGCCAACCCAGGGATCGAACTCAGGTCTCCCGCATTGCAGGCAGACTCTTTACCCTCTGCATCACCAGGGAATCCCCTCTTTTATGGCAATTGTCACCTCTTGAAACCCAGTCCTGGGCCAGACACACAGTAGGCGTCCAATAAGTGAATATCACTAAACTGACCGAAGAGTGGGAGGGAAGGGAAAGCAAATTTACAAACTGGGAAGGACTATGTCCAGGTTAGATGGTCTACAGTGAGCATACGCGTTGTCTCAGGCCCTCTGTTGAGTATTTCTACCTGATTGATTTCATCCAACCCCCTCAATAGCCTTTGAGGTAGTTGTGATTCAAGCCCATTTTATTCAGGAGTAAAAGTGAGGCCCACAGAGGGGAAATACCCCAAGTGTGTTTGACTCCAAAGTTGTGCTCTCAGACATGCTCGGTCTCTTCAGCTATAAAATTACACTTCTGTCAAGGTCTCTTGCCACCCAGTCCACTCCATGGTCCCTTGCTTTCCAGTGATGCCCACTTCTCTCCATTCAACTTTCAGACTTGGCGGTAGAGCTACCCGGGAGAAGTGCGCAGGCGCTTCTCCGAGCCCGGAGCCCCGCCCACAGAGCACAGTTGCGTGCGTGGAGAAACTCGCTGAGCCCCGCCTGAGCGTCCACGCGCAGGCGCAAGGGCGCGTGCCCTCCGCTTTCGTCTCTGATTGGCTGCCACGGGTAAGGGAGCCGCCCAATGGGAGGTGTGAATAGTGAGGGGTCCCGCACGCCTGGAGCTGAGGGTCTGTGTCAAGAGCGGCGGGGGCTGCAGGAGGTGAGAGAGACGGGTGAGGGCGCCCCGGGGCGGGCCGGGGAAGAGAACGCTGGGCATACGGAGAGAGCGGAGGGAGAACGAAGGGGACACCGAGGGTCGAGGAGCTTTGGGGCCTGCGCGAGGGCGGGAGCGGCGCGGAGTGGAAAGAGCGCTCCTTCCTCGGTGCCCTGTAGCGTTGACTGAGCGCCTATGGCGTGCAGGCCCCCCACTGTTTGCAGGGCTCTCTCAGGCTGCGGAGTTGATAAGTTTGGTCAGAGAAAAGGGTTGTGTCTCAGTAAAGTTGAACTTCCAGGCCCCTGGTGGGCTCTTTCCTGAAGGACTTTTGTTGATCTCCTACCTAAACCCATATTTCTCCTCAGTAGTTCACAATCCAAGATTGGGAAATGGGGAATGTTGACTAGGAAAGTCCACACTTCAGGTCTTTTAGGCCATGTTCTACACATTTACTGGGTGCCTCCTGTGTAAAAGCCTTGCACCAGGCTCTGGGCCTCGCTAAAGGGGAATTCTCTTTTGGCAGCAGAGCTGTAAACAATGAAAAGTTGAACTCTCAGGCCCCTGGTTTCTGAGAAGATCCGTTGTTGAATGGCTTTTGTGTGCCAGGGCCCCGGGCAACTCAAAAATTAGGGAAGGAGTCAAAAAGTTAGCTCTTGGGCTTTTAATGAATCATTTACTCAAGGAGGATTTATTGGACATCAGCTGATAGCAGGGCCCAGTGATGGGCCTTGTTATTGTGGGAATTCACAGTTTAATAGGAGGGCTGGTCTGGTGGGAAAAGTGGAATGTGTGCAGAGACCCTTAAACTCTCGGGCCTCGCTTCCTGGAAGGAGCATTATTCATTCAGCAGATATACTCAGAGCCTATTGTGATGAGACCTCTGGGAGCTTCACATTTTTAACTCTGTCCCAAGTTTATGATATTTGTGATGACGGAGGTGGCACAGGATACCATAAAAACCCCCAGGGAGGGACTTCCCTGGCAATACAGGTTATAAAAAAACTCCGTGCTTCTAGTGCAGGGGGTACAGGTTCAACCCCTGGTCGGGGGCAGATCCCACATGCTGAAAGGTGCAGAAACTTTTGTGTGCAGAGTTGTAAGCTGAACTCTGGCACTAACAAATGAGTTGAAGAAGAAATGGGAGATGGTGGGGATTATATTTGGAAAATTACTACTGAGGCCTGCATGGAGGCAGTCAGAAGGACTCTGAACCCCCATTGTGTGAAGGGTCCTGGGTTGGGTTGAGCCCACACCAATAGAGGGAGATAGGGGGCACATAGAGGGAAGTTCAGAAGTTAAAATCCCTGCACTTGATCAGTGGTTTTGTTGATGACAGCAGCCCCTACAATGAATCACATCTGCCTTGCCAGCCTTCTCAGTTTGATGAGTTTATCTCAAGTCCATGATATTTGCTATGATGGAGGTGGCACAGAATACTATAAGAACCCCAAGGAGGGACTTCCCTGGTGGTCCAGTGGTTATAAGTGCAGGGGGCACAGGTTCAACCCCTGGTCAGGGCAGATCCCACATGTTGAGAGATGCAGCCCAAAAAAAAAAGAAAAGAAGAACCCCAAGGAGGAGGGAGTGGCCACCACCTTGTGGATATAGATATGTTATTTAAAGAGACTTCACAAAAGGAAATGCTGGGTGGGAGTTTGTTAGACAAAAAGAGAAAACTTTCTTGCCAAAAAGAATAGTAGCATCAAAGACTTAGGATAGAAAAACATTTCTGGAGAATTACAAGTAATGATTCTATCTAACCTTGATCAAGTACCAGGGACTTTGTCGTCATTACTACTTTTAGCCCATTTCACAGGTGAGAAGACCGTCTCAGAGAGACAAAGTAAGTGGAGGAGTTCAGATTCAAGCCAAGGGCAGTGTGGTTCCAGAGCCTGTGCTCTTAAACTTTGCTGCATCCCTGTGTGTACACATAGATGGAGGAAAGATGCTGCACAGAGAGGAAATGCACAGGCAAAGGCCAGGAGGCCCCCAAAGATACATTATGTTCTTGGAAAGGGTGTGACCAGCCCTTTGGGTAAGGAGGATGGCATCAGAGGCCAGACTGAGGAGGGCTGTCTCTCTTGCAGACATGGTTGGCCGCCATGGGGTGCAGTTCAGCTACAGAGTCGTGGGCCCACTGAAGACTGAGGTTTAAACATTGAATCCAGACTTGCTAGTTGGTAGAGACTGGTGAGTGATGACATGGGCAAGGGAACTCCTGAAACATCCCCCCTCCCCTTGAGTTCCTGGTGTCTTATTAGGCCCCCCTCTTTTCTCCAGGCGCTGCCTTCCGCACAATGGCAGAGGTGGTGGCTGAAGTGGCTGAGGTAGCTGAGATGCCGACACAAATGTCGCCAAGGGTAGTGGAGATGTCAGCACCGATATTAGGGGAGAAGATGGAGATGTCAATGGAGCTGACTGAGATGACACCTGGGGAGGCCCTTGCCTCCTCCCTCTTCTTCCAGTTCATGTGCTCTGAATGTGGAAACCTCTACAACACACTGGAAGACGTCCTCTCACACCAGGAGCAGCACGTGCCCACTGTCACAGAGGAGGAGGCACTGACCACCCAGGACACTGGCCTGGAGCCAGAGCTGGTGCCAGGCATTGAGGAAGGGCCTTTCCAGTGCTGCGAGTGCAGCCAGCTCATCCTCTCCGCCAGGGAGCTCCTTGCTCACCAAGACGCCCACCTGCGGGAGTCTGCAAGCCAGATCCAGTACCAGTGTGGAGACTGCCAGGAGCTGTTTCCCTCACCTGAGCTGTGGGTGGCTCACCGCAAGGCCCAGCACCTTTCTACTGCAGCAGCTAAACCTCTGGTGCCACCGCCTCTGCCTCCCGTCACACCACCACCTCCACCCCCTGCTCCACCCGAAGTCAAGATGGAGCCCTACGAGTGCCCCGAGTGTTCTACCCTCTGTACCACCCCCGAGGAGTTCTTGGAGCATCAAGGCACCCACTTTGACTCTCTGGAGAAAGAAGAGCACAATGGGCTAGAGGAGGAGGAGGAAGATGATGAAGATGACAATGAAGAGACAGAGGGAGAGGAGGCAGCAGCCGAGGTTGGTGACGATGCAAAGGGAGGTGACAAGTCTGCAGCTGGCCAGGCCCAGGGCAGTGGGGATGGTCCCCCACACTGTAACTCAGCAGGGACACGCCGGCGACATCGGCGGGCATCCCATGGCCCTGCCTCAGCAGCTCACCCCTTCTACTGCAGCCAGTGCCAGCGCAGCTTCAGCTCTGCAAACCGGCTTCTGGCTCATGGGCGGGCGCATGTGGGTGGTACCCACGAGTGTACAACCTGCTCCAAGGTCTTCAAGAAAGCAGCCTCCTTGGAGCAGCACCTGCGGCTGCACCGCGGCGAAGCCCGCTACCTCTGCGTGGACTGCGGCCGCGGCTTCGGCACGGAGCTCACTTTGGTGGCCCATCGGCGGGCCCATACTGCCAACCCACTGCATCGCTGCCGCTGTGGCAAAACATTCAGCAACATGACCAAGTTTCTCTACCATCGGCGCACTCACGCCGGCAAGAGTGGGGCACCCCCCTCTGCCGCACCACCCACGGTAGCATCTGCGGTGGCCTCCCTGGCTCCAGCCGAGCCCACACCTCCCCCGCCGGCCCCTCCCACCCCGCCCGCCCAGCTGCCCTGCCCGCAGTGCCCCAAGTCCTTTGCCTCAGCCTCCCGGCTCTCCCGGCACCGGCGCGCTGTCCACGGGCCCCCTGAGCGGCGGCACCGTTGCGGCGTCTGTGGGAAGGGCTTTAAGAAGCTGGTCCACGTGCGCAACCATCTCCGGACGCACACAGGCGAGAGGCCCTTCCAGTGCCATGCCTGTGGCAAGACTTTCGCTTCTCTGGCCAACCTCAGTCGCCACCAGCTGACCCACACAGGCGTGCGTCCCTACCAGTGCCTGGATTGTGGCAAGCGCTTCACACAGAGCTCCAACCTGCAGCAGCACCGGAGACTGCACCTGCGGCCGGTGGCGTTTGCCCGCGCGCCTCGCCTTCCCATCACTGGACTCTACAACAAGAGCCCCTACTATTGTGGGACCTGTGGCCGCTGGTTCCGCGCCATGGCGGGCCTGCGACTGCATCAGCGGGTCCACGCCCAGGCACGAACCCTGACACTGCAGCCTCCCCGGTCGCCCCCTCCTGCCCCGCCCCCACCCCCCGAGCCTCAGCAGACTATCATGTGCACCGAGCTCGGGGAGACCATTGCCATCATCGAGACATCCCAGCCGTTGGCCCTTGCAGACACACTGCAGTTGTGCCAGGCGGCCCTGGGGGCTTCTGAAGCGAGCGGGCTGTTGCAGTTGGACACAGCCTTCATGTGACAGTTAAAGAGCAACAATAAAAAAAAATTTGGTTGCAAAACAAGTGTGGGCACCTCTGGGGAGAAGGGGACCACCCCCTGACAAGCCACTTTGGCACCCACTGGGTGCCAGCATCCACCCTGGCCTCTTCCCTACTGACTCCTCAGAACGGCCCCACCAGGTGTCTTTCTCTGCCTGAGGGGACACTGAAGCTCTTGAGACACCAATGTGTCCCAAGTCACCCCACTGTGTTGCAAAGTGGGGTTCTCCAAGACTCTCTGCTCCGCATCACCCTGGTGCCTAGCAACATCAGGTAACCTTTCCTGAGCCCTGAACATGTGCCGGGTCTCTGCTGGGCACCGTCACATACCTCTTCAGGTCCTCTGCTTGTTCTCCACCACCTGCCCCTACCCTCGCCTTCCCTGGACTCCCGGCTCCCTGCATTTGGCTCTGCCTGGTGGAAGAAGGTACTTGACTTCTCTGGGCTTCTTTCATCTCACTTCCAGCTAAAAGATGGGTATTCAGCTGCAGATGGGTGATACTGGGGACCCAGGCATGAGTCAGACTGGGGCTGTGCCCCAAGAGCCACGCAGAGGGATTAGAGGAACACACCCAAGTACAGATGGCCTTGTTCTCTGAGTGTCTTGTTGATTTATTCAGCCTGCGTGTCCTAAGGCCACCCTCCGTGTGCTGGGGCCCAAAGAGTCAGGCCTCTGCGGTGCCTGAGGCGGGGCAGGCACACCTCAGCCCCAGGGTCCTCGGCGGCAGTGGGGAGGTGTAGGGGCAGTAGGAGCCCGGAGCAGGAAACAAACTTCATGGTAGATCAGGGGTCAGAGACTTCTAGAGAAGGTAATCCTAGAAAAGGTAAACATCTGCTAGTAGAAGAGGAAGGAAATATTACAGGCGAACAACACCGCAAGGGCGTTGAGTTCTTGGTACAGTCGGAGGTGGTCCAGTTATTGACAACAGTGACAGCAGACATTTGGCTGCCCAGCCATGGCAGGCACTACAGTTGGCACTGTGCATGTATTGTGATCCCAGCAGGCCTGTCAGGCCATCTCAATATTATCCCAAGAAAACAGGGACAGACTCATCCAAGGTCTCATAGCTGGGCAGAGGCGTCAGCCGGGATTTGAATCCAGGTGGTCCTTTTGGCTCACATCTGTAACCAGTGGTGTTGAGTGACTGTGACCTGAAACCAGTGCAGGGGGCAGCGGTTCAGAGGAGTCATTGTAACTGGAGGAAAAATAATGGCTTAAGGGGCCTCGAGAGAGAAAAAGGTCTTGGGAGCAGGAAGGAATCCCCAGTGTTTTCAGAGGTTATGTGGGGCTGACAGTCCTTCGCTCTCCAAATGAAAGCAGATCACTTATGGCAGGCCTATGGGGCAGGCTCCTCTCAGGCCGCTACAGACCGAGGTGCTCGGACAGGTGCAGTTGGACAGGCTGTGGCTGAGGTGTCCGGGAGGGAGGCCGGGCAAGGGTGATGAGGTGGGGGTCGGGGGAAGTCTAGACCTGGGAAGGCCTTGAAAGCCAGCCTCAGAAGTTAGGGAGGTGCAAGGGATGGGATGGGGTAAGGGTTCTTGGTGGGGTTAGGGCTCTTTGGTATCCATCAGGGTGGGACAAGGAGGAAGCGGAAGATGGGCGGGGAAGGAAAGGATGGGACCAGACCTGGACAGAGGCCAGCGAAATGGGCAGAGGGTGTAGGGACACCCTTGGGAACCTCATGGTCCACTGGTGTGAGCAGCAGGCAGGGGTCCCCGGGAACCCAAGGTCAGCCCCTTGTCCAGACCCCTCATTCCCTCATCCAGTCCACCTGCTCTTGGTGTTCATCCTACGAACAAGGTGACAGCTGATGGTGCTGAGCAGGGAGGGGCAGGGTTTGCTCTGGGCCGTCAATATACAGATGCCCCTGGGACTCACCTCACGAGATAGCAGAGCCCAGATACCACAGGAACAGTCCCTGAACACCCTCGGGGGTGTGTTCAGAACTCCCCCGTTTCACAAATGGAGTCCAGTACTGGACAGTTCAATTGGCTCCTCTCCAGGCCCCCTTTTACTTCTAGGGCCTCCTGCCTTCGCTGCCATTGGCACCATGTGGAGGAGATGCCATTTCACTCTGCCACAGCCCAAACATCTGGCCCCAGCATGTTCACAAAGCAAGGAGAAAAGTCAGGCCCCCTGCAACAACCTTCCCAGAGTTGTCACTTCCCACCATCCCTAGAGGTGGGCACAGGAGGGCCCTGTTTAAGACAGCAACGAAAGCTTGGGGCTCTCTGCTAGGGTTTGGAAACGGCTCCTCTGCCCCCATCCATGCCCACCAAGAGTCTGTATCAAGGTTGTTTTGGCCCGTGACCCCCCACATCATCTTGTGTCCCCCTTAAGCGGCATGTAGCTCGGGCTATGATATAGGGAGCCCTTTATTCAAACTTTGACTTTGCCACTTACATTCTGTAGCCCTGACCTATCTGATGGCTAGCTTTCTCACCAGTCACCTGGGAATGACAGTGCCTCCCTCCCTAAGTGGAAGCAGATGATATGTGCTGCGGTGGATAAGCCAGACGCGGCTCACCACGTGCACGGAGCTGAGGCACAGGAGGCCTGGGCTGGCCTGGATTCACTCCACCCTGCTACCCTGCCTGAGACGCAGCCCACTCTGTCCAACGGCCGCCCCCCAAGCTCCTCCCTCACCTCTGTGAAAACAGGTGTCTAGACAGGAAGCAGGTTTTCATGCCAATAATTTATTGAACGGAGGTCTGTACACAGGCAAACCTTACTGTGAAAACTAAGACATCAGGAGCTCCCCCACTGCCCCTGCCCTCCAGGGTGGGGAGAGGAGGGAGGCCTTAGGGGCAGAGGACAGGAGCAGGGACACAGCTGTAGGAGGGGAAGGGGCCAGGTTGGACGGTGCGAATCGACATTTTCTTTAAGAAAAAAATTATAACAATCTATTTACACCCGGGGGCCAGGGGAGGGAAGAGGAGGAGAGGGGCTGGTCAGTTCTATTTACAAGGGACGCAGTAGGGGAGGAGGTTGGAGGAGGTGGAGACCTGGGGGGAGGGGGAGGGGCTGAGGGGGTGGAAGGTCCTCATGCCCCCCATCCCCTGTCCTTCCTTCTCTTCCCTCCCCACAACCAGTTAAAATCCTCTTAAAAAGCCCACCGCAGGGGTGAGGCTGGTGAGGGAGGGACTGGAGGAGGGGTGGGGACTCATTTACCTCTGCCCTCTAGTCTAGGGGCCCAGTCAGGGCAGGAGCTTGGTGGGCTATGGCCCCCCCTTCCCAGCCCCACAAAGGGCTCCCAGATGGAAGGGTAGTTGGTGGCGCCCTCAGGAAGAGTTAGTGAGGGCGGCTGTGGTATCGGTCGACTGCCAGTCCGAGCTGGTCTGAGCCTCACTTAAAGCTGAGGGGGGGAAGGAGCAGATGGTTAACCTGGGCCTGTTGGCCCCCCACCCCCACCCCGCCACCCCAAGGCAGGAAGCTGGTGTGAGATGCTACATTAGAAACCGAAAGCTGTCACTTTAGGTCGAGGGTTTCAAACTCAGACGCCAAAGGGCCAGGTTGGTCACTAAGTGACTCACAAGGGAGCTAAGCCCCCCTAGCGCGGGGGGCAGCCGGACCTCAGCTCCAGCTGGCAGGACCGCCCTGAGCAGAGGCAGGCCCACTGCTGCCCAGTCTGATTTGCTTCCCCAAGAGAAACAGGAAATCTGGATTTGCACATAAAATAGCCCTTATTTTTAAATGGGAGGAACAAATTTAACTGTTTGTTTGTGCAGGCCAAATGTATGTCTTTGGTTTTCCAGTTTGCATCTGAACACAAAATACAGGCAATAATGCCTTACAGAGGTGGCCGTTCATGCGGGAAACATGCTTTCTGCCAACAATTTCTGCATGCTTGCAGTAAACTCAGGGGATGTGAGAACTCCCCCCGCCCTACACTGAGAAATGCAGCTTCACTGCCCAGGAGATGGCCCCCAACTTACCTTGTGAGGATGGGGTGAGGGAGGCAGTGCCCGCCGGGGACCTCAAGTGAGGAGGGATGAGGATGGCGTTGAGAGATGGTTGGATGGTGAGTTCTAGAGACAGGAATGGACATGTCTAGTCAGGGGAGAGGGCACCTGGAGACCCAGTCCTGGTTAGAAAGGGGCACCAGATAGGGACAGGTGTAGCCACTGAACCCTTTAAATAAAAAACTGGAAGGAGCATAACACGGGAGATCGCAGAGTGCAGAGGAGGTGGGCTGGGGTCTCCCTGCATTAGGGGTGTATTTCCTGAGCCCTAGGAACTGCCTTGCAGCCCACCCTCAGCTCTCTACTCCTGTCTTCCACAACAAGCTCTTCGCTGTCTCTGGCTGCCCTCCCAGCACCCCAGATCCCAGGCTGAGTTCTCACCGCCAGGACTGAAATTGAAGAGGGGGGGAAGCGGGCGGTTGTTGGGGAGCTGGGTTCCAGGACATCGCAGTTCATCGAAGAAGCTGTGGGCGCAGGCTTCCAGCGGGGAGAGCCTCGAGGACGGGGTGTACTCCAGCAGGCTAGAGCAGAGCGCGATGGCCTCGGGCGGTGTTCGGGATTTGAACACCTGGGGGGTGGGGAGCGGGTAGAGGTGACAATGGGTGAGGCCCTGGGCCTCCTGCTTGCCTCCCACAACCCCACTTGCCAGATGAGGAAACTGAAGCGCAGCCTCTTGAGGGGAGGTGAGTTTGTATCGGATGAGCAACCTGCTTGGGTCCCATGACTGTTTGGGCCCTGCTGTGCTGTGTGCCCGTTTCCCCATCAGAAAGTAGGCCTCTGGGATTTACTGGCAGTCCTCAGCTTTAAACTTTGCCATGTGATCTAAGTTAACTGACCCACTACTTAGCCATGACTGTAGCCAGGTCCCCAGACCAGTTGGCCTCCAGTGGGGACCTCAGCCACGCTGCCTGAACCCCTAGCCCTGCCCCACCTTTGTCCAGGGGTGAGCTTTAATCTGGGGGAACTTGAACTCCGTGTAGTTGGGGTTCATCTCGCGAATCTGTTCCCGGCTTGGTGTTCCCAGCACCTGTAGGGAAAGGGAGGGGTCTGAGCCAAGGTCCTTGGCCCTGAGCCCAGTCCCTGCCCACCCTGGCCCTGCCCTCACCTTGATGATCTCCACCAGCTGGTCCACCCCACTGTCCCCAGGGAAGATGGGCTGGCCCAGGAGGAGCTCAGCCAGTACGCAGCCAGCCGACCACACATCTGAAGAGGAACGGGGGAGGGTCAGAGCTACCATGCCCATCCCCAGGCAAGCATTTCTGTCCTTCATGATCACCCTGAGAAATGCCAAGAGCCCCATTTTCTTGGCTCAGAGAGAAAGGGCCTTGCACAAGGTCACACAGCATAGGAACACAGGAGCCTGACTCTGAACCTCCAAGTCTGCCTGACTGCGCCGTACTCTCCAATCTAGAGGCTTCCATTGCCTCTCCACTCTGATCCCAGTAAGCCTTTTCTCTGCAGCCTCAGAGGACACATCAACAGGCCCAAAACAGACACCTGTGTTCTCCAGGCCTCAGGAAGGGAAAGCATTAAATGAGCTGCGTTACTCACTTCTGGCCTCTTTTCTGCTCTTGGAAATAGCTGTGGCCTGGTTAGTCACCCCTGCCAGTCCTGTACCTTGGCCCCTACAGCACAAGTTCACACCTAGGGACCATGAAGTTTCCTCGCAAAGCTGATGAACTTTCTCTTCCAAACACTTTCATACCCTCTCCTCATGCCTGGAAGTTGGCACTCTCACCCCCAGCAACAGGGAAGGACATCGAGGCCCTGTGAACAGGTCACACCCTCATGGTGGCAAAGTCTCTCACCTCCCGATTCCCCCAAGGTCACTGTCAGCCCCTCCTGCTGACTGAGGAGAAAGGACTTCCTGGGAGGTTTCAGGGCTGTATGGACTCTGGAGTCAGGTCCACTTTCAAAGCCCAGCCCTGCCCAGTCCCACCTGACTGTGGGCAGGTGACCTCACCACTCTAAGCTTTAGACTGTAAAATACACCTATGACAGCATCACCTTCCTGAATTCTTGAGGACCCATTAAATGAACAGATATTAAGCTTTTATCACTGGGCCTGGCAGACACACAGAAAGACCTAAAAAACTGCCACGACTGCTACTCCCACCCCCAACCCTCCCTCAAGTCTGACCGATGGATGAGGTGTAGTCGGTGGCTCCGAAGATCAGCTCTGGGGCCCGGTAGTAGCGAGAACAGATGTAGGAGACATTGGGCTCCCCGCGGACCAACTGTTTTGCACTGTGGGAAGATATGGGCAGGAGTCAACACGGGCCAAGGGTTGGGACCCCGCCTCGCCCCTTCAGCCACCCAGCCCACCCCAGGTGAGGCCCACCTGCCAAAATCACAGAGCTTGAGGACAGCAGTGTCGGGGTCCACCAGCAGGTTCTGGGGCTTGATGTCGCGGTGACACACACCCTGGGAGTGGATGTAGGCCAAGCTCCGGAAGAGCTGGTACATGTACACCTGGGGTGGGCAGGGGACAGCAGAACTCCAGCCCAGTTCTCCCCGCAGAGCACACCCCTGCTCCACCATCTCGGCCTGCAGAGCCCTTCCAGGCCCACTCTCCCTGTCTTGAAAACACTTCCACTGCCCCTTGGTTCTCAAGCTTTGGTGAGCACCAGAATCACGTGGAGGCCGTGTTAAAACAAGGACTGCAGGGCCCACTCCCAGAGGTTCTGATTCGGTAGATCAGGATGAGGCTCTGCAACCAGCCCCCTAGTGCTGGTGCTGGTCCACACTTTGGAAACCACGGCTTCAAACACACACTTCAGCAGAAGCCTGATGGACAAGACAGATACATCAGGAAGGCCTTGTTTTAAAGCAGGCTGGGGACCCTCACCAAGAAAACCACTGGCTAGGAAGGGCTCAGTCTCCTTCACTCAGCAGTCAAAACCACTCTCAGGCCAGCCCCTTTCCACCTGGATTTTTCTGCTATTCTCTTTCCTACTGACTAGGACGTTAAGAGCCAAAGAGCAGGGATCTGTGTTTCCGTCACTGCTGCAGCCCCAGGGCTTCGTCCAGTGCCGGCATGTGTAACTGCTCAGGCCTGCCTCCTGGGCACCGCCTCCTCGGTTCCCAGTGCCTGTGGCCAGAGATGCCCACTTCTTGCCCTGTCCCCAGTCTCCTCCCAGAAGCCTTCCTCGATTCTTCTCACTCCCAAAGCAGGCGGGGCCAGGGGCCTCTTGTTTGCAGAAGCCCTGTGCTGCTTCCGGTTCGGCCATTGTTGGTAGTTTTATAGTTCTCTGTGATGATGCCCGTCTACCCTGCTAAACTGAGAGCTCTTCAGGAGCAGTCTGGGTCTCAGTCAGTGGGACCTCTAGAGCTGCTCAGTGCTGGGTCCAGGACACAGTTCACAAACCAGACCACCACCACCCACCCCCACAGAAGGTGAGGTCCCACAGCACCAACCTAGGCCTGGGATACTTAAAGCCAGCGGGAGGAAAAACTGGGCCCATGCAACCTCCGCAAACGTGAACCCACCCTCCTCCCGCCATGCAGCTGGCTGCTCCAGTCCCGTTCTCCACAGCATCCCTAAGGCCGCCCACCCACCCACCCACCCACTCACTCAAGTATGTCCTTAGGGACAGTAACACACAGGGCACAGCACCAGGGGAATGAGCCTCTGCAGGCCATGAATGAAGATGCAGAAGTCCCTGGTTCCACGGACACTAAGTTTCCTCCAACCCTGCCTCCTACCGTCCCCCTCTGCCAGGGCTCCACAGGCCAGAACTCTGACCTCAGTGTGCCTCTGCATTCTAAGTCTCTACCTCTCGATTCTGAGCTGACCCCACCAACACTAATGGTGCCGGTGGGCTCCTAGTGTAGACCTGAGCTGGTAACGTGCAGCCTTCCCAGCCCTGGTCCTCCCTGATTGAATCAGGCCTCGGGCCAGGCTGCCCTGCCTTTGGGGAGCTCCATCTCTGGGGATGTAGGGACAAGGGCAAGGCACTTGAGGCCTCTAGAGACCAACGTAAACTTGGAAATGACGGGAGAGTCTGTCTGGAGCCCCTGACTTGGTCGGCCGGGACCCCTGCAGCCCACCAGCCTGCCTACCTTGACATAGATGATAGGGATGCTCAACTTGGCCTTGGTAAAATGGCGGGCCACCCGGTACACTGTCTCAGGCACGTATTCCAGCACCAGGTTTAGGTAAAGCTCGTCTTTCTGCAGAGAGCAAAGGAGAGGTGTGAGGCGACGTGAGAAATGAGCAAGGAAGAGGGGGAGGAAGGTCTGTGGGGAATAACGGGGGAAGGACGAGCAGCCATGAGAAAGGCAGGCAGACGGGTGGAGCCCAAGCGGAGGAGGAATCCCCACACCCAGGTCTCACCTTCTCCCCACTGGAGTAGAAAAAGTATCTCAGTCTCACGATATTGCAGTGATCCAGCTTACGCATAATCTGCAGCTCTCGGTTCTTGGGGGGCAAGGGAAGAGAGCCTCAGACGACAAGCCACTCTCCCTGCCTTGCCCGAGCACCCCTCACCACAGCTCTACTCCCCCATTCCTGCCCGCAGGGCCAAGTAGCCACTCTGTGAGTTCCAGCTCCAAGGCCCCATATGAAGCAGCCCTTAATTCCTCACCCCAACTCCCCTCACACACAACTAAACTCAGACCACTTACATGTGCTTCCTGCAGTCTACGTCTTAAAAATGTTTTATTTTTCACTCATTTACAAAACAAATGACTTCACATGTAAATCTAAGTTTTTCAGCTTCTCTTGAAAATCACATGATGTGGCCACATGAGGCCCACCTCCCTGTCTGGCACCAGCAACACTAGACAGGGAGAGGTCATCCAGGTGCTCCTAGGCCCCACGCCGCTCCACTGCTTTCCCGGGAGGCATCTGAGCACTTCGATCCTGAGTCCTGGGCTCCAGGCTTCTCATCCTTACCTTCCCAGTAGAGATCCAGCCTCAACCTCTTCCCAGAAGACCTGTCTCAGCACTCTTCCCTCTCCTCTGTTCCCCCCTGGGGCCTCAGAGGCCCCTATCCTGATTCCTCTTACTTCGGGACTCACCTATAATCAAATTCTGACCAGCGCCCTTGAGGAAGACCTGCCCCTGAGAGTCCTCACTGCCTGAGACCTAAACTCTGACCTGGTTTGTTCAGCCCAGGCTGTTTCTCCTATGCCCCGGCTACATAGGACCCAAAGGGCCTCCAACAGCTCACAGGTGAATGAGGAAAGAGGACCCCTTCCTCAGGGGTGACCGGGCCCCACACCCAGGCATCTGCAGCACAGGCAGGGTTTCTCCCAGCACGTGCCAGACCCTGGGGGCAGAGCCGGACCTTCGCAGACAGAATCATCAGCCCCACCAGCTTCCTTTCTCTTCTGGATAGCAGAGTAACACAGTGGTTAAGGTGAAGCGCTTGGGAATCAGATTCTAGCCTTGACCTTGTGCAATTCTCTTATCTAAGTCTCAGTTTCCAGTTTCTGCTTACTTAGAATGGGAGTAACAACAGTACCGACCCTCAGAGAATCTCTGCATAAGTTAAACTCACCTACAAAGCACTTAAAAAGAACAAGAGCCCAATAAAAGTCAGCTCTGGATTCTCCTGGAATCCACATCCCCACACAGCTCACTCTTCTCCTCTGGCCCATGCTTGGACCCTCTGTACAAACCCAAGGCCAGCACTCTTGCTGGGGTTCCCCCACCAGTCATGTGCAGTCAAACCTCCTGATCCCCGTTCCCCGCAAGCTACCTTGAACCTCTTGTCCTGGAGAACTTTCTTGATGGCCACCAACTCCCTGGTGTCTGCCAGCCGTGCCTGGTACACGACCCCAAACGAGCCACTGCCAATCACTTTGATGTCTGTGTAAGCCACCTCCTGGGAGCGCTCCGGGCCTTGGCCTAGAGTGGCTACCACTGTGGTCACCTTCCCACTGTCACCTGGGGAGCAAAAGGAACACACAATCTACTGACCTTTCCCCTCGGGCCACCACCCCATCCTGGGGCTGGGAGAGGGCGGGGAGTCTCTACAGGAAGCTCATGGGGTGGGGGATGGTCTTTGTCCCTCCCCCATCTTCAAAGATGGCTCCTAGATGCCTCCTTTTCCCCTCTTCCCTTCAGGGAACCCCAAATCCTGACTCTTCCCATAGGGGAGAATACTGACACATACAACCTCTTGCTGTACCAGGGTTGGTAACCCCTAATTTCCATTTCTGGTGAGCAGCCAATTACTTGTCCCTCCTGATGTGAGGAGGCACCACCACTCCCAGATGTTGAATCCATCCATGACCAGAGCTAACTGCCTTCTGCTCCCTCCTCACTAGGGAGAACCTGACCTAACCTCTTCCACTTGAGAGCAGGAACCCTGAGGTAATTCTATGTTAGGAAAGCCCTAACCTTCCCCACAACTTGGGGGACAGTGATCTCTAAGTCCTCCCTAAGTGCAGCTGGTAACTTCACCACTGATTTCTGGTGACAGAAAAGAATGACTCCTCTCGTAGGGAGTGCCAGCACCCTAACTCTCACTTTTGGGAGACAATTAGGTCTTACCCAAATACTCTGGGGCTAGAAAAAGGCACTGGCCTGACCTCACCTCTGAGGTTCGGAGCCCCAGACCCCATCCTCTATGTAACATGATAGTGAGAATGGTGAACCTGATCTCTCTCATCAAGAGTTTATCCTGGCCTCAGTCCTTTAAAGGAAATTATTCTCAAAACATTCTGCGAATGGCAGCAAAAGTTGGTGGCATTCTTGGAGGACAGGGATTCCTCTTCTTGGGGTAACTGGTGAAAGGTTCCCCAAAGAAAAGAAGTCAGTGATGAATCAGATCCATTCAGAGGCCCAGTGAGGGAGAGGATCCTATATAGCTATTTATCCAGACAATGACATCATATATCAGAATAATGAAATGGGTATAACTTCACATACTTATTCTAGGGGAGGGACTGGTAACCTCCTCTGCCCCCATTCCATTTTCTGTGAAAGGAAACCCTTCAAGAAAGACATCTTTTCTTGAATATTACTGACTATGAACTTGGTCTGAAAGATACGCTAACTTCCAATCTGCCCTCAAGAAGCAGCAATCATTAATTTCCACCATTGGAGATACAATTCTACATATTATGGACAGATAGTGTTTTAAAAGGGAAGATGAGTAGGTATAAAATTTGGAAAGCCCTGGCCCTGTTCTTTGGGGCCACAGCAAACCCAAATCCCTGCTTCTAAGTGATACTCACTCCAAATCCCCATGCTCTAAAAGGGAGCAAATTCAGATCCCTTCTCTGGGTGGTGGTGATCTTATTCGTGTTCTCTTGAGAAACAATAACCCTTGAGCCCCATTTGCCAGCGACAATGACCCCTGATCCGTTCTCGAATGGATGGCAACATCAGATGCCTGTTTTCAAGGCTCACGGACCCAAGACTTCGGGACTGGAAGAACAGAAACCTGTGACCCTGTCTTTTGAAGGATTACTAATTCTAATTCTAAACTCCAAGTGATGGTAACCCCCCCCAAATCCCTCTCTCCGGGAGGGGTTAGATCTCAGATCCCAGTTTGGGAAGGCACAGTGACCTCGAGCTCCTCCCTGAGCATAAAGAAGAACCTGATCGACGTCTGAATGGCTTCAGGGATCCGATCTCCACCCGCCACGGGCGCCGCTAGTACTCACGGCCCAGCTTCACTCCGGGCGGCGGGAAGCTGGTGCCCGCGCCGGGGCCGCCGCTGCCTCCTCCGCCGCTGCCGCTGGGGCCACCCCCGGAGCCCGAGGCCCCCACGCCCCCGCCCATGGCTCCGACTGACGTCTTCCCGCCGCCGCTGCCGCCTGGGCCAGAGGCCGAACCCCCCGGGCCGCCGCCGCCGCCGCCGCCTCCGCCGCCTGGCTCCGCGAACGAGCTGGTCCGCGCCCGGCCCGAGCCCCCAGGGCCGCCCCCCGAAGGCGCGCCACCGCTCATGGCGCCGAGCGCAGGCCCAGGCTGCGGGGCTCGGGCTGCCCGGGCTGCCCCCGCCGCTGCCGCCGCCGCCGCCTCCCCCGGGCTCCGGCCTCTTCCAGGCCGCGCCGCTCGGGCTCCGGCTCCGGCCCAGCGCCCGCCGCGGGGCACGATGGGAGATGCAGTCCGCCGGCCCTACGCGACGCCGTCGCCGCTCTAGGCCCTCACAGAGAGCCGCGTGGCACGCCGGGAAATGGAGTCCACAGACCTCAGAGAGGGATGCGGGGATGATGAGTCGCGCTGCACCTCGGGAAACAGAATCCCGGGCAATAAGTTCGACAACTGTGCCCACAGCGGACTCTGAAGCACTTTCTGAAGTAGTCAGAGTCGCACACTCACTCCATTGCGGCAACCGCGTGCCCCTAGGTGTGCCTCAGAAATGTAGTCTCAGGCAACTCCATCAGGAAGCTGTATAGGCCCGATGCACTCCGGGAAACGGAGTCCAATCGTTCACTTAGTTTATTGGTTGTATGCCGACTGGAGCCAAGTGCACCCTGGGAAATTGAGTCGGAGCCGGTGGACCCGCCGCTATCGGGCCGCTATCGGGCTGTGATGCAAGCCGGGAAATGTAGTCGTCGCCACGCCCTCACCGCATTGCAGGTATAAAGCTACTTCGAAAGCACGCCGGGAAATGGAGTCCCATGTGATTCCTAAGCCCCAAGTGGATATTGCAGTTCCGGAGATAGGCTAGGAAATGGAAAGGCAGAGCATTCCTCCACCCTCGTTCGCTAGGCCGCAATCCCTGCTGGGAAATGTAGTCAACACCGAGGCTTCAGAGTAGTTGCTACAGCGAGCCTTGTGTCTTCTGGGAAATGGAGTTCAAGGCGGCCTTACCATTGACTGAGGGGGCGGGGTCTACCATAATCCCTGAAGCATGCTGGGGAATACTCCAGACCGGATCCCGACCCTTTGTGAGAAGACAGCTGAGGCTTGCCGGAAAGAGCGTGAGCTAAAGGGGAAAGACAGTCGCCTAGGAGAGACTGCAGAAAGTTTCAACGCCTCCTCTCATGACCCCAGGTCCCAAGAAAGAGCCGAAGTCGATCAGGGACTACTGGAAAATGGAGTGCAAACACTCCCAAGTTTCCACAAATCCGGAAGGAAAACCCTCCCCGCCAACGATTTAGGAAATAAAGTTTCCGGTGGATTTTCAAGACAATACAGTCTTCGGATGTTGTCTAGCTTTTCCTAACAATGTAGGTTGCACCAGGAGGCTGAACTGAAGGTGGAAAGAAATGAAAACACAATTTATCTTGAACATCCCATTAAGCTTTTTGAATCCTCAGCCTTCCTAAATTACAGGATCCTGGAAGGCCCAAAAGAAGGAAGCCAACTGCTAGGAGTAGCCTCGCGGTTTGTGCTCGCATTATGTTGCCCCCACTTATTCATTAATACCCGGAAGGACGGTAGTCCAAAGCGCGCTGGGAAAGGGAGTTCGTTTTGAGAGTGTGTGTGTGTACAGAGCTCATGTCAGTGTGTGCTGGGAAATAAGAGTTCATGTGAATGTGTGTGTTCCGGAAGTATTTGTAACTGAAATGAAGTCACCCTCCTCTTCTCCTGCCTCGTGGAATGACGGGAAATGGAGTTCTAGGCTTCACTTTAATCAGATCCTGTGGTCACTCTAATTGTCTTGCCCTTTGAAAAAAGTCTCGTCCACGCTGTAGCTGAGTGCAATTCCCAGCGGACACAAACTCCTGGGGCAGAACGGATAGTAGCTCTGAAGCCTTTCGTACTACAGTAACCAGAAGGCAAAGCACAGTCACACTTCCGCTCTCTTAATGAATGCGGCTACATCACGCACGGTCTAGAGAGGGTGCTTCTGGGAGTTGTAGTAGTTCCTCAGGCAAACAATTCCTGCTGCCCTCTGACGGCGGCTCGGAGTCCAAAAGCGAAAATCTGACTCAAGCCCCAAATCCTGGGGAATCCTAACCTGGACCAGGAAGGCTTACAAGGGCAGGAGTACAGGGCGGAATAGCGGCGGTTACTTAACGGCCAGAACCCGTGGGACGTGCGGAGTGGACCGCGCGTGGGCAACCGCCAGAGGATATTGGGGTCCATGGGAGTCTGAGGGAATCAGTCTGAAGGAATCTTATCCGAATGTCTGTACGAGATGAGAGCATTTGTTGAGGGGTGCTAGAGCGGGTTGTAAGTGGCTACGAGGGGCCTCTGGGTGTCTAGAGGTGCTCTGAGGAGTGAAGAGGTAAAATGATCTTCCTGGAGAGAAGTGAAGTCAGAAAGGACTTGAGGTGTCTGTAAAAGGTCTGTGGGAGACTGTGAGAAACTGATGGTGACTGAGGGTATTTCTGAGGGACCTGAAGAAGTGAGGGATGGTTGAGAAGCCTAAGAAAGGAATTTCTGGGGACTGAGGGAGTGCTGGGGATTATAAGTAAGGAGAGGGTCTCTGATGATATGAATTAATTGATGGAAGTGTCTTGAGATCTATAAAGAGCTTTTACTTGGTATCAGAGATCCTGGAGGATGTGGAAGGGAGCAGGGGTATGACCTTGCAGAAACTGAATAGATTTAGATGGGCCACTTTAAAGATGAGAGGAGCTGCTGGAGTTTTCAAGACCAGAGGCCACCTGTGACATCCCACTCAGCCAGAATTTGGGGGAAGAAATCTAGTTGGGCTGTGGCCTGACCTGGAGAGGGGTTCTGAGGCTGAGCGCCTTTGACTCCATGTTAGATCCAGTTTAGAGGTGCTTGGAAGGCACTAGAATCAGGTGCTGAGACTACTAGTCAGGGTCCTCCCTCCTACCTCAGTGATGACATCCCCCTTTCTCCATCACACCACCACCAACTTAGCTGCATCTATGTTGCCAGGAGACATGCCTCATCCCTACTTCCAGAAATAGCCCAGTGGCCCCCACCCCAAGGGAGTGACTTACATCACCCAGGAGAGGGAGCAGTTGCCTGCAGGCCTCCACAGGAGCCTCACACTACCCCAGCCCTGGATCCTTTCTTCATTGCCAACGGGCATCATCAGGGACCACCCACTTGGGGCTGACTTGAAATGAGGCTGAAATGAGAGTGGGTAGGAGTTTCCAGTTCCTTCCCCCAGAGTTGCACAGGGTGGGGTTTCATGGTGAAGCCATGCAAGCCCAGAGCCCTCAATTCTCTTAGCAGCTGTGTGGCCTCTGGAAAACTCCTTTCCCTCTCTGGGCCTCAGGCACCTCACCTGCACTGCATGGGTTGTGCCGTCTAAAATAACCTCCAGAAAAAAAAAAAAAACTAAAATAAAAGAACCTCCAGCTTGGATACCTCCTCCTGATTCTTTCATCTCTGATTCAAGCTCTCCAACTTGGGCTTCTGGCTTTATGACCTCTCCTGTCAGATCTTAGGAACTTGAGATCCTGGTCTAGATCCAACCATCCTGGCTTTAGGAGAATTGAGTTGTTGAAAGAACATGTATTTCAGAGACAGACTTCATTAAAGTCCCAGTTGGGCTTAAGGCCTTGGGCAAGTCATTAAAGTGAGCCGCTTGCTCCCACCTTGCTGAATGTTGGAGATAAAGAACTCTAGCTCCTAAGTACCTGGCACACAGTAGGTGAACAGCAACTGCAATTAAGCCAGTCTCTTCTTAATTTACAAGCAGAGTGCTCCCATGGGTTGATGGGAAGATCTCCAAAGTGCCTTGAAAGATCTACATTGCAAGACACTGCAGGCCTGTCACCAAAGGACTCCCAGATAACTCAAGCACCTCTAAGAGCTGACGTGTGAGAGAACACCACAGGTAGTGCAGGAGTGCCAGGACTTCACCAGAGCCTGGAGAAATGAACAGGGATTCACAGAGAAGAGAGGCACTTCAGGCAGAATAAGGGCCACAGCCTGGTGTTCAAGAGCCGAAAAGTGCTCCCAAGAGTGGATCCCCACCAAAGAGGGGGACAGTCAGAGGGCCAGAGAATGCCCGAGACCTTCATCACCAGGCCCAGAGGTTTAGTGCCCCCCAAGGTCAAGAGTTCATTTTCCAGGCCTGGACTTGACCCTCTCAGATGGGGTTAGGCCCTCTGGCCATGGATCCACTCAGGGCCCTGGTCCAAGAACCAAAGGATGTGGCCCTGAGATGGCTGCATGCAACACTCAGATCACTGCATCCAAAGGTCCAAAGTTTTTATTGTTTTGAATACATTCTCCAGCAGCCCCCGACTTCCCTCCCCACCCACCCTCCATCCCCAATACAGAATAAGGCTTGACCACAGACCCCCACCCCAGGGGCCCCAGCTGGGAGGCAGAGGGGGCTTCCAGTTTGGTTTCAGGGCACCCCCTTCCCCACCCGCCTGCCTATGGGGCAAGTCCTAGGAGCAGCTGGGGGGTGAAGGGGTTGGACTGGCACTGGGGTGGGGACCAGGAGAGGGGTAGCAGGCACTTGTAGAGATTTGTGGCCTATGGGCGGCACCCCTCACCCTCCTCTGCCTCCACCCCCCCAACACGGAATTTTTGGTTCATCATAAAATGTCCCTCCCTCCTCTGCTGCAACCCTGTGGGGCTATGAGAAACCCAGGCACTCACGGCCCCTGGAGGGGCGGGGAAGGCAGGATTGGGGCTGAGGACGGCTGGGGATGGATAAGGAGAGGTACAGGAGGCAAAGGACAGGGAGGGAGACAAGGCTTTACTTCCTAAACGATTGTAATAAAAAAAGTTCCTGGGCTTTGAGGCCGGAGCCTCAGTTCAAATATAAATTCCCCAGAATGGAGGTGGCCCCCTTAACTCCCCCCTCCCTCCCACCCCCACCACTTTGCCCGGAGCTTAGAAACCCACAGGGACAGGGGACGGCCCCCGACCCTGGGCACCCACCCACCCTCACCATTAAAAAAAAAAAAGAAATTAAAAGTTTTATACAAAACATGGGGGAGGGGAAAGAGGCGGCGGCGGAGCAAGACTAAAAAGCTGCCCTCACCTCCGGGAAATGGGGGGTTAAGGCAGCAAAAGAGGCATGGGGGGTGGAGGGAAAGGGGGTCCCCTGCCCACAGCCCTCAGGAATCTCGATGCTCCAGAGAGAGCTGGGCTGTAGCGTGCTGGAGGTCAGAGCTCACCCGCCTTGGGGTGAGGGGCCCCCCAGCCTCCCCGGGCCCCTCCCCACGCACCTTCTTGTCCTCACCCTCATCCTCAAGGCCCCCAGCAGGGCCCCCACCCCCTTCGAGGCGACAGTCTTCACTCCAGCGGCGTTTAAAGCGCAGCTTGAGAGGCATGCACTGGGCGACCCCGGGCGCCTCGCCCGGATCGGGCTTTGGGGGTGCAGGCGGCACACGAGGTGTCTTGAACACCTCCCCATCTTCTTCATCCTCGTCGCTGATGTCAGTCACCTCCACCTCCTCCGACTCGCCTTCAGAGATCGGTTCCACCTTGATCTGCGGCGGCGGCGGTGGCGGGGCCAGAGCCCCGGCCCCCTCGGCCAGCCCGCCTGCACCGCCGCTGAGGGCCAGGCCGCCGCCCTTGTCAGCTCCCGTTGGGGCCTTCTCCCCAGCAGCCCGCTGCCGGCGTCCCAGGGGGGGCGGCTGGAGCTTAAACTTGAATGGAGAGGAGGAAGAGGAGGACGAGGCCGAGGAGGGGACCGGTGGGGTCTCAGGGGCCATGGGCGGCAGCGGGCACTTGTCGGGGCGCTGGGGCTGTGGCACCACCAGCCCGGGGTAGTGCAGGAAGGCGCGGGGGCTGAGGTGGTAGTTGTAGACGCTTTGGGTGTGGGCCTGCAGGTACCGTTTCATGTCCTCGGGGCTGAAGGAGAAGTGGGAGCCTCCCCCTGAGCCGCTGGGGCCCCCGCCACCTCCGGGGTACATAGGGCTCAGCGTGGGGGACGGGGTGTAGGCCAGGTGGGTCGGGGTCATGGGCAGAGCCGGGGAGAGCTGTGGGGGCAGCAGAGAGCCAGGCCCGGCTAGAGGTGACACAGGGAAAGGACTGAGGGGCTCAGGGCCACCCCGGGGCCGGGGGTAGACACGGAAGACACCAGGGTCGTGGGGCAGGCGGGCCAGCGGGGGCCCACGGAAGGCACCCAGCTCCGGGGGGCCGGGCGGTCGGGCCCGGGGGTCCTCTCCCAGGGGCTCTTCGAGCTCTGACGTGCCATCGCTACAGTCACTGACCGAGCCCCGGCCCAGGCGCCGGGCCACCACAGCCGAGAAGAGGGATGACGATGACGAAGAGCAGGCCGGCGGTGAGCGGGGGTCCTCGGTGGGAGACAGCACCTCGGAGGGCGTCGAGGGAGGAAAGCGGAAGTGGCTGCCGCCTGTCGGCACCGGCGGGGCGCTCTGGGGCACCGCACCCCCTGACAGGAGAGGGAAGACATGATGTCAAGGCCCCTCCCCGCTCTGCTTCACCTGGACTCTCAGGAAGACCCTGCTCTCCCTCTGAGGCCGTACCCACCAGCCCTGGTACTCACCAGCCAAGCCCACGTCGATGAAAGGATAATTAACCAGCACCAGTTTGTTGAAGTTGAACTTGTAGGTGAACCGTTTCCCCTTGGTCTTGTGCAGAATGCGTTTGTTGTAGTAATAGCTGGGGGTACAAAAACACTGTTCATCAGAGGGTCAGTCACAGGGGACCCGAATCTAGAACCCAAACCTTGACCCGTATTAGTGCTGCTCGCAAAGGGTGACTGAAGAACGTGGGCCACACGAGAGGAATCAAGGTCCAGATAGTGGGGGACCAGTTCTCCCCTTAGTTCTGGGGTCAGACTACAGGCTACATCCATGACCACATTCTCGCCTCGGTGTGACACGTGGGCTCAGAGGGGTTAGGACTTGGTCAGAGGTCACACAGCTACCATGTGGCACAGCCAGAAGTCAAACCCAATGCCTATTCCCACGGGCCAGGGGGCTCCCAACCGGTGTGTGTGGGGGAGCTGTCCACGTCTGCCCTGGGGCCTCTGCCCTCCTCACCGCAGAGCCCGGCTCAGCTTGTCATAGTTCATCTGGGGCTTGCACTTGCGGACCCCCCAGAGCCGAGCCACCTCATCGGGGTCCTTGATGACAAACTCTCCGTAGTCCCCCTGCCAGGCGATGACACCCTGGTACTCCTCCTTCCGCAGCAGCTCCAGGATAAAGTGCCACAGCTGGATCTGCCTGGAGCCGGGGGATGACTCTGGCTTGTAGGCCCAATCCGGGAAGGCAAAGCCTGGGGACGGGAGGCAGGGGAGCGGCCCTGGGTCAGGGCGCCAAGTCCGGGGCCCTGGGGCCCATCCCAGGGTCCACCTCCTAGCCCCGCCCTTACCATGGGGATACCCGTCTCCCCTCTGCCAAGCCAAGACCTGGTTAGAGGGAGACAGTGTGTGTCTGTGTGTGTGAGGGGGGCTAGACAGGAGCTGGGGGGAGGGGAAGCTGGAGCCTGCTCCAGCGACACCGGGAGAAACAGGAAACCGTCGGCGGCGGGTCCCGGGGCCAGTGCCAGGGGGCCAGGCACCAAGCCAGGCCGGCGGGCAGGGCTGCCAGTGGGGGAGGAGCAGGAAGGGGCACACGTGGCCAGACGGGTTGGGGCTAGCCACCCCCAGCCCACCCTCACTCCCATTCAGGGTCAGTCATTACCACACCCCCTGCCCCCACCACCTCCTCTGTTCCCCTCCTAGGAACATACACTGTTTCCCTCCCAAGATCTACCGGAGCCCTTACTCCCACCCTAGGCCCCCAAGAGAAGGCTTTTTTTTTTTTTTTTCTTAAAAGGACCAGGAGGGGTGGGGTGGCTGGTTGACGATGAGGTCAGCGCTTGCACACACAGAGGCTTCTGTCTTCCCTGGAGAGTGAAACCCAGACTGTCTGAGAGAGCGCTCCCCCATCAAGCCCAGGACCCTCTGTGCTGCACTGCCCAACCCAGACCCGGGCACATGGACCCAACCTGGCTGGAGGGCCTCAACACTGAACAGGCATCGCTCGCTGCAACCCGTTCCCCCTTCTGCCTTCTCATCTTCAGCGTCTTCCCTGCCCACCTACCTACCCGCCCCCAGCATTAACCTTGGGTAGAGGTTGGTGGTGGGCTCGTTGGTCCCTAGAGGGGGTGGGCAGCCTGATGGGGGGGGAGTTGGGGGGGGCTGCGGTTGTTGTCATTTCCCAAACCCCCGGGTAATCAGGGGCCATCAATAATTCAGCACTAGGCAGCCGGTAATGGAGGGGTGGGAGGAGGGAAAAGGGAGGAAGAGAAGAAGGGGGGGAGGCAGGACAGGAGCCCTGGTGCCACTAGAGAGAAGGCCAAGGTGGACAGCTAAGGATGGGCGGGTCCCAAGTCCCAGTCAGGCTGCAAGGGTCAGCCTTCTTCCCATGGTCCTGGCTCAAACCCCAGCTGAAGCAGGTACCAACCCAACCTGAGGCAACATGGAACCTCCCTGAAAGTCCCCACCCAAGTCTGGAATCCAACAGGGGAGCCTTCCACATGGGGACGCCAGGGATCAGCAGCCCCTGGTGCCAAAGGGACCACTCCCTCTAAATCAGAGCTGACTCTAATCCCTGACCCCTGGCCTTGGGCAGACTGGGATGGCCAGCATTCCCCACCTGGTCCCTGCCCCATTCAGAAATCCCAGCCTCCAGTCAGTCCCTCAGGGCTCCAGGGATATGACCATATGACCTCAGGGTGTCACAGACTCAGGGTCCTGTACCGGCAGTTCCTGCTCCATTCACAAGTGACAGACCCTGACAGCACCTTCCACAGACCCCAGCATCCACAGCTCCATCCCTCTCTTGAGAATCCAGGTGTTCACCCCTTGATCCTCACCCTGCTAGAGAACCCAGGTCTGACGGTCTTGTTCAGGGCCCAGAGGCTCTTGGGAACCCAAGAGACCGCCCGCTTCATGTACCCGCCAACCTTCTCCAAAAAACTCCTGTCTCCCTTCATGGCACCAAGCTTCACACCCCCGCCCCCACCCCCAACAAGCCCCAATTTGGCTCTTGGACTCGGGGTGGGGGCCGAAGCCCCTGAGACATCAGTCTAGGGTTGGGAGGGTGTACTGATTTCCACCCTCCCCCCAAAATTAAAGCCACCCTTCCCAGCCCACCCGCCCCAGCCTCCTTGTCCCGGTAACCAGGCAACGTGTGTGCAGCGACAGTCCTGGGAGCGGGGGAGCAGGAGGCTAAAAATAAACTTTGCAGAAGAGAAGGAGTGAGAGAGACTACATGCAACACAAAGGGAACTCAGAAGGGAGGTGGGGGGCTCTGGAAAGGCCTCAGCTGCATTCCGGGGGCTGACCCAGGCCCCCTTAGTTAAGCCCCCTCCCTGAACAACCTCGCTCCTGGGCCAGAACTCTGGCTCCCACTCATGGCAGCGACCCTCCCCATTCCCAGGCCAACCCCAAAGCCAGCTTTCCTCATCGGACACGGCATACATGAGGGCCTGTTCCCAGCTTTGGGGGGAGAAGGAAGATGGGGGGGTGACGTCAGGGTGTCTCAATGGGGCTCTGTTCCCCAGGCTTTGGAGCCAGGAGCCAGGCACGGGCAAGGGGAGCATGTGTGAGTGTGTGTTGTGTATGAGTCCACGTGCTTAAAACAGGGAACCACCCGGCCTACACCAAGAAAGCCTGGGGATGCAGGACCTCTGGAGCACGGGGGGGGGGCGGGGGGGCGCGGGACGGGACAGTGAGGCAGAGACAGAGCAGCGGACACTGAGAGAAGAGCTGAGGACGTTGGCAGACAGGGTGGAGAAGAGGCAGCAGACAGGAAGGGCTGGGATGGCGGGGTCCCAGAAGACACACCTGGATCCCACATAGGCGGGGTAGGGAATCTCCCAGACAGACTGTGAAAACCTGCGGGGGGGGGGTGCAGAATTCTCGGGTACCCCTCAAATTCACCTTAACTGCCCAAACTTTTTTCAAAAGGACTATGGGGGTCGGAAGGGAGGGGCAGTGATAGAGGAAGAACACGCCGGCCTCCTGGGGGGCCCCACCACCTCCCCCACTCCAGGCAGCCCTCGGTGGCGCCAGGGCCGGGAAGAAAACAGGAAGTGGGAAACAGCCGCGGCAGAGGAGAGAGGGGCCGGGATGGAGGATCGGATGGAGGGGCGCGCAGCGGCCAGCCAGGAGTCAGATGGACCCATGGACCCATCGGGAGGCCAGAAAAGGCTCCCGCCCCTTCCCCCAGCCAGAGAACCCACACAAGGCGCGGCCCCAAGACTGGGATAGGGGAGCGGCCCAGCCGGTCCCACCAGGCGAAGGCCCGTAGCAGGGAGCGAAGATGAGGCGGGGTTGTCTGGGTCCCTCGGCCCCCTCCTCCGGCGAGGGGAGGCTCCGGCTGCCCCCGAGGCCCAGTGGCCCTGGAGCCTTTGGGAGCCAGAGAGTATGTGGGACGCACGTGACTGACCCTACTGCACTCCGAGCCCCTGCCTACACCCAGCCCCCTCCTCGGCCCCCAATCCCCAGGCGCCGGAGCCCGGCTCGGAGCCCTTTAAGAGCCGCCCCCACCCGCCCAGCGAGGGGGGGGCGGGGTGGGTGGGCCGGTCGGGGCACACACCCGCACACAGGAGCCCTAGCCGCGGCCGCCGCCGGGGGAAGGAAACAAGTTTGAACAGCGGCGCCCGGCCCCCTTCCCCCTCCCCCGTCCCCGCCCCGGGCCGGATTCCGACGGGGTAGACGGGCAGGGGGCGGCTGGGACCCCTCCCCCAGCGCGCCCGGGCGCAAAGTCCAGCCTGCGAGAGCCCGGGGGCGGCGGGGGAGGGGAAGGGGGAAAGTCCGAGTGGGAGGGGGGGGTTAATCCTGCTGCCCCCCGCCCGCCGACCGAGGGAGGGGGAGGGGAACCTTGGTCCCTTAAGGAGGAGCAAGTTGGCGGGGAAGAGGGGGGCGGAGGGAAGAGACGGCCGGTTGAAAGAGAAGGGCTGGATGAGGGGTTGGGGGCGGGGGGGGAGCCTCCGCGTCCCCCCCACCTTCCCCACCCTCCTCAACCCCAGGTCCCCGGCGGCGAGGGAGGAGGGTTCCCAGGTCTCTCCGGAGCGACCTTAAAGCCGCGCGTTCTAAGGTCGGAAACAAAAAGTTCCTTTTTCGAACGTTCGGGCTGCGCTTTGGAACTTTGCGACTCGGCGCGGGCGGGGGAGCGAGGAGCCGGCGGAGACGGGCGGGGGAGGGGCGGCGCAGCCTGGACCCCGAGTCCCGGGCTCCCCACTCACGCCCTCCTCCTAGAGGCCATCCCGTATCCCCCTCTAAGCCGGTGCGGGGCACGCATCGCGGTGAAGGTCACGGGCCGGACCGTGCAGCGCCGAACCGGGAATAGCGGGCCCTGTGGACAGCGCCCCCCCACACACACACCCCGCACACGTCCCGGCCCCCAGAGTGCAACGTGACAGAGCGGCTGGGAGGAACCCAGCCACCCCCGTGATCCCGGGTGTCAGAGAGAGCCCAGGTTTTGGGGTCCAGGCAAGGAAAGAACCAGGATTCGCAGCACCCAACCACTGCGTCCAGAACCAGGAATTGGGGGCCCGGTGCACACCCCCGCTAGCACCGCAAGAAGCAACAGGTCTCGAGTGCTTGGGGGTCCCCCGCAACTGGGGATCACTCGGGCTCCCCCAGAACCCTTCAGCCCCCCCAAAGTTTCTCCGCCTGGTTTCCCGGGGCAACAAGTCTCCCCCACACGTGCTGCCCCCGCCCCCACCTGTGTCCGCCGGGGTCTTCATGCTGGGGGGCCCGGGGCGAGGCGCCCCGACTCCGGGCCGCAGCTCCCGGCGCCCGCGCTGCCCCGTCCCGTCCCGAGCACGTCGGGCCGCCCTCGCCGATTCACCCGGCCTCGCCTCTCAGAGCCTCTCCCCTCCCCGCCGCCGCCTCCCGGGTTAATATCGCACTCCGGGGCCGGGACGCCCACGCCCCCCGGCCGGCGACGTCACCGCCGCGTCGCCATGGAGACACTGTGCCCGCCCCCTCCCCGCGCACTCACACAGACACACACAGGCACACATACATACACACGCGCGCGCGCACACACACACACACACACACACACACACACACACACACACACGCCGGCGCGCAGCCACTGAGGACCGGCCGGCTCTAGGCTTAAAGGGGCCGCGCGACGGGGGAGGAGAGAAGGAGGGGCTGGGATGGGGTCCTGGGGGTCATGACCTTTCTCTGAGGCGCCAAGTCTGAAGATAACTTTTAAGTCCTCAGGATCCGCGACCTGCCGCCCCTCCTCCTCCTCTCCTGCCCACTGCGGGGTCCACATTTTCTTTGGAAACCTGTAAGAGGGGTTTGGGGGTACCTTATGGTAAGTGTCAGAAACTTTTGTGAGGACTATGGACCTTTTCGGAAGAGGCAGAACTTTCTCTGCGGGGGGTGAGGGGGGGTCGGGTCAAGACCTGAGAGGATGATCCAGACCACAACATTTCCCAGGCTGACCTTACCATGCGTCCCCCCAACCCTGAGCCTGACTGGGGGCAGCTGTCCAGGGGCGGGGTAGAATGGGTGGGAAGCATTTCCCAGCGTCGGAAATGGGGAGGCGGCTGCCTCCTCTGCTCCTCCAGGGATAGGGTCTTGGCCTTCCAGATAGCCCCAGTCCCATCTGGGGAGGAAGTGACCAGAGAGAAAGCACGCAAGAGCCGCCCCCCCATCCCCAGACTGCAGCTGTCTTGGGAACACGGCTGGCGCCGGAGATACCCCCACTTCCACCTCCAGGGCAGGGGGGTTCCGGGGGTGGAGCCAGGATGCGAGGGGGTGACCAAAGTCTGAACAAATGTGTTCCCACGGGACACTAGGGGGTCGCCAGGAGAGAGGAAGGCAGGGCTTAAGGATGAAGGCCAGTGCGTAGGGATGTGTTAAGTCTGTTCTCTGCAGCTGGGAGGAATGGATGGAGCCTGAGGCTTCGGGAAACAGGAAATCAGCAATGATCGGATGGCCAACAGCAGAGGGCAAATAGCAGTTACATTCACAGGCTGATCCTGGAAACAATCTCAGAGAAGACTCTGAGGTACCAAAGGAGAGGAAGGGGGGTGGGGAGGAGATGCTCAGAGAGAGTGAAACAAAAAAGATAGGGAGCAGTGAACAGGCTACAGAGAGGGAAGGCCTGAAGGGTTAGGCTCTGGGTGCTTAGGGCTTCAAGCCCACCCTCTGTTGGTGGGTTCCTAGAGGCCTTAGGGCAGTCCCTAAGCAGTGCCTCAGAGGTCTCAGGCCTCTTCCTTGGGGAGACCAAGGCCTCCCAGGAAGCATCACGCCCTTGGGGAATTATGTAACCTTGCCTACGGACAGTGCAGCTCCCCCACGGATATTGTAACCCTCTGGGAGCAGTGTGGTCCAGCAATAATAACCATCATCATTGTTATCATAACAGCTCCCGAATTGCTAGTGCTCATGATGTGCCAGGCGCTGGGCCAAGCGTTGTCAGGACATCTTCTCATTGAAGCCTCACAAAACCCCAAAGAAGGGAATTCCTATTGTTATCCCCATTTACAGATTAATAAAGCAAGGCTCAGTAACTGTCAGAAACAGGGTTCAAATCCAGTCTATCCAATTCAAAATCACCACCCTTAACCAGTATAGTTTATTATGTCTTTTACTGCCCCACCCCTCAGAAAAAGATGATGCCAAGTTTAAAATAGATCCATACTACAACCTCAGTGACCTCTATACTGCCACCAGAAGACAGAGACCAGGGTGGCAACCCAAACTGCAATTTTCTGTATGTGAGTGAGATTGTATAGAGCAAGTGAATTGATCTTTTTAAGCCTCAGCTTCACCATCTGTAAAATGGGGATATTAATGATTAGGTTGTTATGAGAAATCAGAGATTTGAGATAAGTAGGCAATAAATACTGGTGATTATTAGCAGAAGTGAGCAGCATAACCTGTGAGATTATGCATAAGCCTACAGATTCCAACTGTAGGCAGCAAACACGCAAGCATGGACAGTGAAAAATTGCCTGTTAATGGCAAAATTCTACCCTGACTCAGCTGGATAATTCAATCCCACAGTTTCTGTGAAACACAGTCATGGATGGTGGGCGTGCCTCAGGGGAGACTTTCAACCATCCACAGAGAATGGGAACCGCTGGTGAAAATGATGTGTCCACAGATATTATAACATGACTGCACCATGGAAGTGTGGACCGTGTTGGATAGTTCAGTTGCCTTGTGAACACTGGAAACCACCCCCAGGAATGGTGAACCCCAAAATGACTGTGTAAAACACCCAGAGGTTGTGAACTTGTGATGAGAACTCTCACCACTGGTCAATCCTTGAAGACATACTATGCAACCAAGACCATGTGAACTCCAGTGGGCAAGAATCCAACCCCCCCCCACTCTCCCCAGAAAGCCTTCACAAAAGCTCCTGAGGCACAGCCTCTCCCAGACCTCAGAGGTGCCTGGGATGAACAGTGTAACACTCCGTGGAGAAAACACCTCTGTCTGGACAGTGAGGAGAGCCCCCCCTCATTGCCATGGACTTAGTTGTTCTTGTTCCAGTTTACTGTCCTGACACAGATAAAACAGTTATCCTGTTGTCAGGCAAAGGCATGGACAGAACCTACCCCTATAGAAGTCACAACTCTTCACAGAATCATGCCTAGAAAGGAAACCGTGTGGATGGTTAAAATCATAATTATCACCCGCCCATCACCTATATGAACAGCGATGAACCACTACTACTCTATGAACACTGTCGTTCCCTTAGAAATAGTGGGATCCACCCACACTGTTTAGAGCAGCGGTCCCCAACCTTTTTGGCACCAGGGAAGGGTTTCATGGAAGACAATTTTTTTCCATGGATGGGGGTGAGGGGGGTGGTTTCAGAATGATTCAAGCACATTACATGGAGAAGGAATGGCAACCCACTCCAGTATTCTTGCCTGGAAAAGTCCATGTACAGAGGAGCCTGGCGGGCTGCAGTCCATGGGGGTACATGACTGAGCATGTGTGCACGAGGGTGGAGGGAGATGGGTTGGTAGCAATAAACTGGTAGAACTAAAAAAATAAAAAGCGCATTACATTTATTGGGCACTTTATTTCTGTGATTATTACATCAGCTCCTAGATCATCAGGCATTAGACAGATCCCAGAGGTAGGAGACCCCTGATTTAGACAGTGAAGCCACCTAAACTGTGTAACCATTGACAAACAGAAAATGTAACCCGGTTAGATTATCACCCTTGCTGGTCTCTCTGATTTGAAATGCTGAAGGACTCAAGGACTCAGTCCTAGGTCCTCTTCTCTTCTCCATCTACACACATTCCTTTGACAATCTCCACCAGGCCCATGGTCTTATACACCATACACTATGCTGATTACACCCAAATTTCTGTCTCCATCTCAGGACTCTACCCCAAACTCCAATCTCACACACTGAACCACCTCACCGGTGTCTCCATTTAGATTTCTCAAGTTTTCCAAGTCTCTTAGAGTGCTCCCAAAGTGACCCTGCCCCCAGTCTTCCCCATCTCTGGAAATTGCAGCCCCATTTTCCTGGTTGCACAGGTAGAATACCTCGGAGTCATCGTTGACTCCTTTCTCTTCTCTGACATCCAGTCTGAAGGGAACTCCTCCCATCAGGTCTTCCTTCAGCTTTTTCAGACTCAGTCCCCCTCCCCCGACACACATCCCCCACCATCGCCCATGTCTGGTGACTCCTCACTGGCCTCCCTGCTGCCTCATCCCCATAGTCTGTGCTCCACTGGCGTAGAAGTGCTCCAGTCAACCAAATGACATCCCTTCACTGCCCCAAACCCTCCATCAGCCCCTCCACTCCCTGGGAGGCTTTAACAACTCCTTGCCTGCGATGCCCATTTTCCTTCCTGACCTCACTTCCCACCTTCCCCCCTTCATTTTTCCTCCAAGTGCACTCCAGCCTCTTTGCTATTTCTTGAATTTGCCAGGCATATTCCTCCCTCAGGGATTTTGCCCATTCTGTTCTATCTGCCTTGAAGGCTTTTCCACCAGAAGTCTGCATAGCTCTGTCCCTCATTCCCTTCAGGTTTCTATGACAAAACCACCTTCTCAAGAGTTCCCTGGTGGTCCAGTGTTTAGGACTCTGAGCTTTCAATGCTGAGGGCGAGTCAGGGAACTAGGATCCTGCAAGTCATGCAGCATGGCCAAAAATTTTAAAATAAAACTAAAAATATTAAAAAACAAACACCATCTTCCCAGTACTATGCCTGACCACTATGCAGATATAGATGTATAATTACCTGTCTGTGTGTACTCAGTTGTGTCCCACTTTGTGACCCCAGGGACTGTGGCCCACTGGGCTTCTCTGTCCATGGGATTTTTCCAGGCAAGAATACTGAAGTGGGTTGCTACTTCCTACTCCAGAGGATCTTCCTGACCCAAGGATTGAATCTGCGCCTCTTGCACCTCCTGCATTGGCAGACAGATTCGTTACCACTAGCGCCACCTGGGAAGCCCAGATATATACCTATATGTATATCTATATACTTTGGCCACACTGTGTGGCATGCAAGATCCCAGTTCTCCCACAAGGGATTGAACCCACTCCCCCTGCAGTGGAAGCATGGATTCTCAACCACTAGACTTCCAGGGAAGTCCCTGACCACTATTATACTGGAAGCCCCTTTCTAGATCCTGTGGATTCCTTTTATTTTTTTGCTGTGCCATCCAGCATGTGAGATCTTATTTCCCCCACCAGGGATCAACGCACACACCCCCCTGTATGGGAAGCACGAAATCTTAA